TCCATATAATGCCCCCAAAGGAAATTAAAATGAAGGTCAGCAAGCCAAGAAAAAACAAGTAAAAAGTAGTGCTTAGTTTTGTGAAGTTTCGTCAAATCATGTCCGGAGGAACACAAATCCGCCATTCATTCCTGTGTCTCTAGCCTGGGTACAGCATCTCCCCGCACGCCCCCGGTGTTGTGAGGACAGAAGGCAGCCTTTTATTTACTATCCTCCAGGCTAGTTCATTTGTTCACTTGAATTTCTACTATTGCTCCGGCCTTGTCTCCTGAGTCGCGCATTAATCTAAGCGTCCGTCAATGTACACCCTTTTGGCAGGCGACAGCTATTTACCGACAGATTAGAAACTTATTCCAAAGTCTTAAAACTCGAGTTTTACAACTAAGATACGACTTTGAAGATCGGTATGGCGAGCAAAGCCCGAGGACCACGTATAAATAGATCACTTTCAAACGTTTTTACGATTTTGGTTAAATAAACTTGTAACCTTTAGGTTTACTTTGGAATTAAAGATAGATAATGTCAAATCATTTAAAATTAAGAAAGACCTTTAATTACAAATTATTTGAACAATTAACTAATTGAACAGGAATCATCTGACACATCTGTCTGTCCAAGTTTTCAGGAAAAAAATAATAAAGCATATTCAGAATCAAAAAAAAAAAAAATTAGAAATTAAATGAACTTCAAGTTGATTTCCGTCTTCAAAGCTGCAATAGATTTGGTTATACACTGTACTGCATTAGATTTACAACATATCCTTCTTCTCTCTCCCACTGTCAACTCTTCTCAGCAATTTAAAAAAATATTCAAATTCCCGATAATATTTTAGCTATAATCTATTGTACTTTGAGTAATTCACCGAAGAATTTGCATCATCATTGTTTTCATGGAGAAATGACAATAAAGAAAATCTATAAGTGATCGGAGTGGAAGCGAAAATCAAGTCTGGGACGTTGCGTGACACTCGTCCTATTGTACTCTCAAGCGTTCAGTCGTTTCAATATCCATGAGAGGTTCGACTTCCCACCCTGCACTTCACCGGAAGCTAATTTACCAGTCCTTGCGTCTACACGAAAATGTAATTTGTGAGAGTCTTGTGTCGTTTCCGGTTCTTCGCTCACCTATCTCACATGCCGAAGAATGAAAACAAAGACCTCTGCGGGTGTTCAATTCTCAGGCCGCCATTTTCCGTGGGACCGGAAGTTTATTCGGAGTGCATTGGGTGGAACTGATGCTCTCGGTGAATCGGGATGCTTTAATGAGTCGTTGTCATAGAACAGGTATCTTTGATCTGATCATTGCTTCAGAGTCGGGCTCAGGAGACATATTATTAATTAAAACTGATTTATTTCACCTTTCTCGACCTTCATTTCCGGGTCGTGCGCAACGTCAAGGCTTCATTTACAATAAAGCCTGATTACGTAATCAAAATAGTGTAGCAAAAGTTCAGCATAGGAAAACAGGACCTGCCACACTTTCTTAAAAATGACAATTTATACTTAAAATACTCAATATATTTTGAGAATGAATTAAAATTTGTAAAATGAAAGGATTTTAAAATAGTATCTATGCAACTTTACAACCGTAGGTCAAGAACTTAATGATGCGGTAATAATATGGTTTCACATCTTGATTTAAGTACATTAACTAATGGAAACTGTGCGTAATGCGCTTAGAAATGAAATCTTCTTAGATGCACAAAACCTTGATTCATATTAACATGCATAAAATGAAAATTCCTGCCGGCTTTTTTTTTCTATTTCAAGACTGTTTCAATTAATAAATAATTTTAAGAGTTATCCTTCCTGACTGAGAGTCGATCGCGACATCCTTATAAAGATAACGAACAGTATTCAAGATTAAAACTCTATAAAACAATACAAAATAGGAGCAGAGCAAACACAGACCTCCAAAACATCAGAGGTGGGATCAGGTGCCATGGAGGAATGAGCGTCCCCTTCCGACCAGTCATACCCGCCGTGTTTCTTGTCATGATCGGGAAATAACGGAAAAATCCGTCATCAATTCAGTGTATAAATAATGGACTAACAATTAGTACGAGACATCAGCCAGCATTTGACTCAATAATAAGTTATATTTGCTAACAAGGCCATTGTATCGACCATATAGAACTTACGAAATGATGACTTAAAAGAAACTGCTGATATTTTTTTTTTCATCAACTTGTTTGTCAATAATATACCTCGTTGTAGAAATTGTTCGTATATAGAGCATGTTCTTGCGTATCGAATCAACTAAGATACATAAACTCCGTCTGCAGGTTATGAAGGTATATTGCTGCACAAGTAAGGGAAGTTGGCGATAGAAAAGTTGTCATCACGTTTATCATAGAGCTTGGTTGTTAGATTACCATTAACGTCTTTTTCAAGTAAAATATCCAAATATGAAACAGACGTGTCAGACCTTGTGGTATGTTATATCTCAAGCTCACCAGGATATGTCGTTTCGCCGTAAGAATGGAAATTACAATTGTTAATTGACAATACGTCATCGATATATCTAAATGTCGAGTTGAACAGAAAGTGCTTTCTTCATTTCACACGTAAGATTTTGCACAAACTCTGTTTCACATGAGCACAAAAATAGGTCGGCTAATAACGGGGCGCAATTGGTACCCATGGGAATTCCAATTGATTGTTAGAAGACCTGGTCTCCAAAAACAACATAGATATTGTCGATCGGAAACTCAAGTTTTTTTTTGATTTCGACTACAGAGTACTTGTGTGTACAATCAGACTTTTTTTTTTTTTACAAAGTAATTTTGCAAATGACCAATGGCAAGGTAAGTAAATTTACGAGTTCATTTTTTGTTGAAACAGCAGCTGTCAATGATATCGAAAAGCACAATTTTTAGCAATTATGCATGTGCTTTAAACTGCAGGTTAATTTTTAATATAAAATAGAGTTTTGCGCTTTCTACTTCTGTGATAAAATTAAACAGTAAAATAATTCAAAATTTGAACTTCATACATGTACATTTGGAAGCTCTTTGTTACCAGAAGCATTCAGTACATGACGGTTTTGAAATCTTTTCTATCTAAGAAATTACATGTATTAGGAATCCAATGTAACTAAAACATAGTGAAGTTTAATTCTTCGGGGATTCTTAGGATGCCAACTACTGCAGTATATATCGACTTGTATTTTGTAAAAAGAAACTCCAAATGAAATGCGTGATTAAACACGACATAAATTGAATGAATTCCATAATTTTAGCGATAATGCGGATTAAGGGTTTGTGCATTTAGTCTTCCTTCGGTATCTCACAGCGTTATCATAAACATGATAAAGCAACAATTAATCTGGATCAGACAAGGCGGTTTGTAGCTGGAGTCGAGATTTACAGGGGCTGGAGTAATTAGTCGTCATTAACACATGAAATGAACTTATTTCGTGTAATATCAGTCATACAAATATTCCATACTCCGTCCGTGTACCTGACTAAGCGACCGGAGGACTTCTTTTATCCCGTCCCGACAAACGCTTTCGTATCACCAAGTTTTAAATTATCCAATACTCAATGATTTGGGATTTTCTTTCGTGCTTGGACAATTTCGCACCAGTAATTGAAAGCAAACCTCGCATACAATATCTCTCCTAAATGATAATGTATTGTCTTTTTGAAATTATTGAAAATTCAATGAACCACGTGGATCAGAGTAAAATCTTGGGACGACTCCGTGCAGCCTATTGGTATTAAGTGATTTATACCAAACCCTGCCAGTCCTAGCTATTGCCATCCCAGTCTAATCCCTTTACCACCAGCCTGACTTACTCAGGAATCTAAATGATTTTATTGAAACTGCATTACGACATTAATCGAGATATTTAATGAACCGAGATTTATCATTCCTTCTAGTAAAACAGCAAGCTTCTCAGGTTACGGTAATATTCCTTCCACCATGGTCCACAGACAGATCAGCTTTTCTCTCGGTAAAACATCTCTCCGTTAATTATAACGGATTCGTGCATCTTGTCAGTATGTGTAAACTCGAAGATTAGTGTTAAATCTATATTATATTCGAAAATGTTAATTTTACTAGCGTTATAAATGTTCCCGCCAAAAATGAAAATAAAAATATGGAGATAACAAACTGCATTCAAGTTAAAAGTCAATGTAAATAATAGAAATCTGGCAGGACAAACACGGACCAAAAATATTACATATTGAGATCAGGTGCAATGCCAATGGAGGGGTGAGCATGCCCTGGTGACCTTTTGTATATATAAACCGTTTGAACAGTGGACAAAACTTCCAAATGTTCTTAAACACTGGTAGCACTATACTTATGAAGTGTAAGTATACAAACCAGCCTGACCGACTTAACAATTTCCAAATGAAAAGATAATATATATCGATATATAAATTTTCAATTTAAAATGCACCGTTATATTAGCATTTTTTTTTTACATTCATTAATAAATTGATATTCAAATTATTTCACATATGTTTATAAGGTGCAAGCTAGCATTCAAACTTCTTAATAAAGACACTAATACTATATAAGTTAAATATCTATGTACAATTAACATTAAACTTTCACATTCACTTTCGTTTTCAGTTAAATGTACATTTCATCAAAATAGCCCAAAACAAGAAGATTTAATGTTAGTGTTAACTTGCACTTCATAAGCATATATAATATAATATGAATATACTTTTACCTATAAATATACTATTATATTACCTGGTAAACTGTTTTAATCAAATTATACTGTTTACTTTATAGATTGTTTGCATGGGTGTAACTGTCAGGCTAGGATTGGAAACAATTACGAATTTTGCCACTGTTAAAACAGTTTCAACATATAAAAATTTGTTTTTATAGAAAATTTAACTTGTCCTGTCAGTAGACCTCCTCTATGGGGAACAACTGAGATGTAATTTGAATTTAACAAGTTCCATATTTTCAAAAGCTTCAAATTTAAGAAGTTAACATACACTGATTTTCAAAGCAATAAAAATAAATTTCAAGTGAAAAATGAGAAAAAGTATTTAATACTTTTTTGTGTATTCATGAACAATTAAAAAATCCCAAACAAAAGTTAAATAAAAAAGAATAATAATACTTGTTCACATTTTTTACAAACACACATGTCAAAGCAAATGGTGAACAAAAACACTCATACATAAGAGATGGGCTCACAAACTAATGTTTCTTTTAACATCTCTGAAGATTTTTGGAACATTCATACATAAATCTCATTCAGTTCTTCTATGTACATTATCACATTTGGTTTCACATTTAATATCAGTGTTCAGATCTACATAAATATACCCATTTTGTTCTACATTCAACATAATAACCAGTCAGCCCTGGTCTGTGTAGTCAGTCCCTGTGACATTAGGATGCCGGGGGACAAAATGCTGGTTTGATTTTACAAATTGATAAACAGAAAAAAGAGTTCAATGATAATCATTTTTGTTAGTGTACAAACAGGAGTACACAGTGTACAACACACATTTTGAAGTATTCAACATCAAAAATATCCTTAAATATACATGTAAATAATTGTACTTCCTAAATAAAAAGTTAAAAACCCACCATGTGGTAAAAAATACCAAACTCATAATTAAAAATAAATACAAACAGAAATTGATGAAAAAAATTGAATATGAATAAACAATAAAAAAATATGTAATCAATTATGTATTAGCGTCAAAATAGGACGGACTCAAAGAAAACTCACACTGACACAAATCAAGTACCGTAATTTAGTGAAATGAACACAAATTATCAAGCAGGTAATGGAAATGGTCCCAGAAAAGGAAAAAAATCCATGATGGATTCAACCCACTGCAGAAATATTCCATATGTCAAAAGATTATAATCTGGCCTTGTTGTTCATTTGACCTTGACTTAGTTGATGCTATATGACCTTCACCTGGGTTTGTGGACACTAGGAGACCTTGAAGTACTCCTGGGCAGCGGTCAGTTGCTCCTGTGGAAATCGTGACAGCAAGGACATTCTCTGTTCACCAGATTCTTTTTCTGGGGCTGGAATGAAGAACGAATATGTAGATTAAAGACAGGCTTTAATATCAATTCTCTGAATAAGAGGTTTAGAGATGAGATTTTTGGAGCGGTTTTACCCACGACTAAACTGACCTTTCTTAGATGATGCAGAGCTGGGTGAGATCCGGGCCTGAGCTTCCAAAACTTTCTCCTGAAAACAAAAAATGGACTTCAAACATTTAAATTCTACAATAGACACACCTAGATTTGTAGAATTTCTGTACAGCGAGTTAACTTAAGAGAGAAGCTCCACAGGTACACAGGGATGAAGTGGCACTTCCCCGAGTGACGTCGTGGTTTTTAAGATTCCGTACTTCACACACATCTGGAACAGATACTGTCCAGCTACAAGATTTACACAAAAAACAGTCGTAACATCACCCGCTTCCATGCGATGGCGTAATAAATACATGATTTAAAGTAGTAACTCTGGGGTTTCAGCTGTAGAGGTGCTGAACTCGGATGTGTTGGAGTCTGGGTCTTAAACAGCTTCTTAATAAAAACCTCTTGACAGCGTAATCAAACTACACTAAAACTCAAGGACCTGCTCAAGCTGCAAAGTTCTAATCACCTTATTTTATTGTTAACTCAATGAGCTAATCAGGACAGTTCAAGTTCTATAGAAATCTCTGTTTAGGGCTCTTTTTGGGGACTTTAAACAGATCCTTCATAAATCAAACTTCAAAATTTATTAAGTCTAAATCATAAGAGACTAGAACTAAACACTGCATACTCAATGCAAGGTTTTTCTGGAAAATACAAAGCTGATTTCAAGCCAATTATGCAAACTTTTTTCAGTATAAATAAAATTCCCCCTCCATACCCTCCCACTTACGGGGTAATAACAATTTACATGAGATTCCTGGAAAATTCATCAAATATTTTGACAGTTTGAAGAGGTTTGGTTGAGAAATCTCAAGTTATTCTGCAGTAGGTATAAATGTCATACAAACTCGCAGCCGAGCATAACATCTTAGTGGATCAAGGACCAGTAAGAAATGAGAGAATTATTTGACTAAGTCTGCAGCATAAAAACAAGACTTTTTAATGACCCCTCCCATTGGAATAAGACTTAGAATTTTCTTCATCCTAGGATGCTTTATGCAATTTTGGTTGAAATTGACTTAGTGGTTCTTGAGAGGTAGAAAATATTAAAGGTTTACAGACAGACAGCTAGACAGACAAATGGGTGAACAATTGACAACGGGTTGATCTTTCAGCACAGCTAGGTGAGGTAAAATTATTGCTACAGGACTGTGTTTTTGGATACAAATAATATAAATCATATGGAATGTATAGAAATAATAAACATCCCGGTCCTACTATACTCTCCAGTTCTTAACTTGACAATAACTAACCAAATTTTAAACTCCATAAACTAACGAGTGCCATGAAATAATATGCGCTAATACATGTAACATTTATTTACATATTTACATTTCACACATTCAATGATCGTATATTTCTTTTTTTGCTTAAAAAAAGCAATCTGTTGTCTTGTTCAAGCAATCAGTTTTCTATATTCTTTTTTTTTACCTACAACATTTTTTATCGACTCCTAACTTCAAACAGATGAAAACAAGAAATTAAATACATCTATTACATAATTTAACTAAATGTGCATATAATTTTTATAAATTAAAAGATATAATGAGAGTAAAAATACTGAAATCCAAAGCAGAAAACACAATGAAATTTCATCTCAATGCTAAATTTTCTCACTCAATCACTTATTTTATTTTTTCAGCCATTTTCGTCACAAAGAGGCTGTCATCATCAGGTGTGAAGAAAAATCAAAACTGAAAATAATTAAAAACTGAAAAAAGAGATTATAGGATCAAAACCTGCCGTACGAACGGTGCGTTATGTTTTATTGGGCTTTATTCTTCCAGGAGAAAATGAGGTCACGACTCATTAATATTTACACCTACCCCGTCCCAGTCCGCCGCTCAAAGGGGCAAAGCTTTTACAGAAATGAAACACACACACCTGATTGATTCAACAAAACAAAATAAAACAAGGCTACAGATGTCATCAACTTCAACCTCGGTAAAAATCTCCCCGTCTTTAGTTTTCTGTTACACTGCTACTGGGAATTAATTTGATCATTATATTTTCAAACCTGTGAACAAGAATTGTATGAACACTGCTAGCTGATTGACATCTGTTAATTGATATCATTTGAAGTTCCTCATTATCAGAGTTTGGATCAAATGCTGACTTATAAAGTCAACGAATCCTTATTTTTTTAAATATTTGACTTTAAAAACAGTGGTATAAAAGTCTTGCAATATCTGTCTTGTGATATCTTAAAAAAATTCTTGGTATCTTATAAACAGAATTTCTCTCAAATGCACAAGAAAATGCCCCTCATCTTCCTAGTAAATGTACTTTGCCCAAACATTTCTATGATTGACCCTACTTCCCTAGGATTACAGTACAAATTGATTTTTTACCTCAATGAAATTAGAATTATTTTTTTACCTCTATCAAGTTGGAATGAATTTTTTACCTCTATGAAGGTTTTGACTTTTTTTTTTTACCTCTATGAAGTTGGAATTAATTATTTACCTCTATGAATTTAATTTTTTACCTCTATGAAGTTAATTTTTTACCTCTAATCTATGAAGTTGATTAATTTTTTGACCTCTGTGAAGTTGATATTTTGATTTCAATGAAGTTGGAATTATTTTTCTTACCTCTATGAAGCTGGAATTATTTTTCTTACCTCTATGAAGTTGGAATTATTTTTCTTACCTCTATGAAGTTGGAATTATTTTTCTTACCTCTATGAAGTTGGAGAGGAGAGCACAGCTGAGTTCCTGCTCCAGAATGGCCGTGTTGGACTTGTTGTTGTAGCAGCAGGCGATGAGGCTCGGGAACAGAACCCCCGTCAGTCGAGGGTCACTAAAATACTGGAAGGGGAGGGAACACATCTGTTGTAGGACCGTAGGGGACTGGCCCGACTGTATCACAATCTGAAAAGACACGACCAAAAATTTAAAAAATTTATTGTCCTGAGGGTCCATTCTTGATGTCAAGAACATTAATTTTAAAGAAATAAATCCTGTTAAAGTATAATGAAGTATGAAAATTCATAAATTGAAAATTGATGAATTCATCAAATATTCTTGGAACTATCCATTGAATTATTACAGTCAAACTCAATTATCAAGAACTTAATGTAATTGAGAAAAATTTCCAGATAACTGAGGTTCAAAGTTAAAAAAAAACAAAAACAAGAAAAGAGTATTTGAATTTAACTTCCATTTTGCTTCAACATATTAAATGTGTTGAGATATAGTTTAATGCATCTCACTCCCCCATTATTTAAACAATTTATACTTGTGAGGAACACAAATTTCTACATGTAAAGAGCAGTACGTACACAAGTTGACAAAATGTCCCTTACAAGGACCCTTGAATTTTCTCTGCTTCTTATCTGTACAATCTATGAAACAGATACTGTAGCCTGAAGCAGGGACAATTTTCAGTCCTTTCTCGGATCCCTGTATCTGATCTTTTCTGGTCAGTCTTAGCAGCATCAATGTCAAAAGCCTTAATTCTCTAAATGAGCTGTTTCATGATTGTCAATAGGAATTTTGATCCCAATAATTTGTTTAACACCAGTGGCATTAATCAAACCCAAGGACTCACAATGCAAAACTAAATCCATTGTTTCAATTAAAACCTCCACCTCTTGGGGGAATTTTCCTTATTTTAGCTAGACCCCATTATAAGAGGTCATGACCTCAGAAGAGCTGGTTTGATTTTAGCAGGACAGACTTTGGGAGTAAAATGCATTTATTCTGAAGCAGATGCACATAATTGTGATTGGGTGACAGAACTACTCCTAGTTTCCAATAATTTTCCACTGCTAAAACAACAGTCGATCATTTTATTGTGTTGTCATTAGAAGATCATCTCACTGACCCAAAGACTGGAAAAAATACATCAAAGCTTTCAGAAGATTCAGAATCTCAGTCAGACAAGTGATACAGAATACTCCAGTTTTGAATCAGGATTTTATGGAGTGAATATTTCAACTTCAGCAACATGTTCTGTAGAGGAAATGGTATAATTTAAAACCAAGAACAACACTTTAAAGATTTGACTTGATTTCAGTCCATTTAAGTATATAGTACTCAATACTCAATGTCAGATGTGAGAGAATTGAAATTATGACCTGACAAAATAAAAATAAATCAGAAAATTTTCAGAAGCTTCATAAAACTCAGCCTGCAGCAAGTGTGTAGATCTCGGAAAAGACAAGTGGTAAACACCATTTATCATACCAAGTCCTTAAAGCTTACATAAAACTCCTCCTTAACAAATCTGTAAGCCACATCATAAGGGGAAGGTACCGAGTTATGGGGGTTCATTATAAAGGAAACCTCTTAGGAACATGTGTCTGAGGTTGTAGAATCTCCAGACTCCTTGTTCCTACTTCAGCATTCTACAACTTTCCCACAGTTTTAAACAGCCTTAAACATAAACTTAAACATGTATGAATTGTTCAATAACCATTCAAATATAACTGACTGGATACTACAGGAAAATATGAGCATGTTTTCTTCTTGATTTTATGAGAGAGAGAGGGCGGGAGAGAGAGAAAGAGAGATAGAGAGATAGAGAGAGAGAGAGCCACAGAGAGAGAGAGATAGATAGAGAGAAGAGCATTGTTTTGAAATTTGATTTGGTGCATATTAGATCAATTACGGGTTATTAAAAGTCAACAACCTACCGGTACTTCTATGAAGGAGAGGATGAAGAAAGGACTTCAACTGATCAATCAATCTAACAGTTCCTTCTGATTATAATAAAGTGAACAATTATTTTTCTATGGGCCATGTACAGCTTCAAGGACCAGTGATTTTAGTCACTGCCTTATTAACCTAAGATCATAAACTTCACTGCTTTGAATTTTTATGGAAGCTGGAATTGCTCACAGCTCTCTGGTTAAATATTGTTATAGGAGGTCAACTACCAAAATACCACGCAACAAAAACTTAAGCAAACACTTTGAGGTAAAGAAGACTGCTGAAGTCATATGTCAACAGGTCGTGGATGCTGCAACCAAAGGTACAATTCATTGCACTGAGAAAGTAGACTAAAATCAAAGTAAACAGAAAGATGAGGACTAAGGAAGAGATCAAAAGGAGGGAAGATGGACATGACCAATACTGTATGCCCAAGTTACATTCAAAACCTTGAGATTCTTAATTATCCCAAATGATTTTAGTCAGCATTCCCTTGGTAAACATTATCTTGCCCGACAAATATAGACATGACCAGACAATAAAGACTTGCAGGGAATCTGAAACAGTTTTCGTTACATTTTATACAATTCTCACAGATTTTGACCATAATTTCTTTTGACTTCTGTTTCTAGGATGGGTGATAATTCTGCTGCTTGGGTCCAACATTTAACTTTTTCATGGGAGTGGATGAAGGGTGGGTGTGGGTTGGTAGAGCGTGTTGTGGTCCTACACTTATTTTTTTTGTGGGTGAGGGGCGGGGGTGAATGGGTAGAGTGTTGTGGTCCTACACTTATTTTTTTTGTGGGTGAGGGGCGGGGGTGAATGGGTAGAGTGTTGTGGTCCTACACTTATTTTTTTTGTGAGTGAGGGGCGGGGGTGGATGGGTAGAGTGTTGTGGTCCTACACTTACCTGGTTTTCGGGGTGTAGTATGGTGAAGTACCCGACACACAGAATGACCTCGTGTAGAAGCTCCTCACAGGTCAGCCTGCTACAATACCACATCAGGTAGCTAGCGATGTGTCGGAATTCCAGGGACATCCCCTCCTCTCCCAGGGTTTTCTGTAACGAAAACAAAACCAGGATAGATATAATAATATAGTCCAGGTCTAACTAATGATCAGACAAATATACAGAGATCAGGGTTTTCTGTAACGAAGACAAAACCGGGCTAGATAAAATAGGTCAATAGTCTGTTTCTTACTCAAAGAAATGGTGAGCTAAACAAATAGAGTTCAGATCTAGAGAAAAACTTATTTATAGGCTAAATTGGGAATAATATGCCTAAGAGAATTTGGGGATATGCTACAACTATTGGGTGAACTTACTGAAATCTTGTCTGAATTATATCTGTGAACATACTTCAAACCTTAAGCTTTAATCAGTTTGTCGACTGGTATTCAAGTTTTCTTGAATAAAAACATATTATAGATACTACAATAAAATTTACTTTTAAAACTTTGTACTCGATGAACGCTATATAACCACAAGGGTACATTTTGAATGACTTGTATTATATTATGTGCACTTTCTATTTGTAAAGTCAGAATGAACTTTTCTCTGATTTATTCAACTCATTCAGTAATGTACTTTGGCTTCAACAAATAAAAAAAAAACCCTAAAAAACCATCACGTCTTTTTACTAGAGCAGAAAAGTGACTGAAAGTCCAATAAATATATAAAACTTTAATCTCAAATATCAACTTGTTAGTTATCATTAATTTTTCAAGGCTGAGGTAAGTTTGATGTGCTACTGAAATTTTAACAAGTCATTAACAGCTATTTGATGACGTTAAGTGGCGTAAAATGATTTTTTTAATTGTAAATCTATCATCTTTGTCCCTAAAGACCAATAATGAGAGGCATCCTTTCAGAACTTTCCACTCTTTGTCTTTTGTAAGATCACAACCTGTAAATAATTTCTTAACCTCATTTACGGAGATAGTCCCCAATCCCTGCTGAGTGGTACATTGCATTCATTATTTTCCTCGCAAAATTAAGCTTTACTAACAAACTATAATGCAACTAAGATGCATGTAATCAAATTAAAAATTATTGACGTCACTGCTCATAAAGTTCAAATATAGACAAATTGAAAAAATGAATAATTAAAACAAAACCACACACAGTTAAATAATGAGGCATTGGGAATGTGGTAAATTTTGTTCTTTGATACAGACTGAAAGCAATTTTTTTTCCTTTGATGACTTTATAAATTTCTTGATATTGGGTGCTATAACTGAATGTTTCTTTGAATTCCAGACCTTACATAAAGCCAACAATTTACCTGTAACATCTCCAGGCTGAAGGTGGCCATATTGTTTAACATTTTGATGCCGGTCAGGATGACTGCCATGGTGTGCTGGGGTAACTCTGGGGGTGAGAGCTCGCCCCTGCTGGGAGCCCCAGAGTGAAGCAGCATGCCGTACAGAAGGGAGACAATCCCGACCAGTTCCGTCACCTCGTACGTACTGATCAGCTGAGTCGGGTCCTCAGGCTTCTTCTTCTCAAAGATAGCCGCATTCCTGAAATTACAGACAAAAATTTAGTAGCAAATAACAGGAGGTTCGGGGTTCCTACTGATACATTTAAAAAAAAAAAAATCTGTGATGAGGCTTATCACTTTTTTCAAAATGTTTGTAAAAGTTTTTTGCACAATTCATAATGTACATGTAATTGATGTTCCTTGCAATTATTTGTACTTCACACTGCTGAAAGTTTCATTTATTTTCAACTATTGATAGAATTAAGTTTTGGAGGCTTTTTTAGCCAAAGCATTAGCTTCAAGAAATCATTGTCCTGGATATAAATGTACAGTAGGGGAGATAAATCTAGATTGTAATCTTCAAATCCTTGGTCTCTGTAAAACTTGAACATTTTATAAAAAGGACTGCAACTCTTAAGACCGGTTTTCTATTTGTACAAATTCTAAGATTTGATTCTCCCTGGAAAAAGATGAACTAAATCAGGGTATCAGCCCTTATTTTAACTCCTATAACACCATACTGTATACTTAAATATACTTATAGTGAACAAACTTAATACAATGAATTAATGCTCACAGGGAAATGACTTTCATTTTAGTGAGTTTAAAATCTTTGTAAACTTACAGTAGTAAAGGATATTGCATATTATGCTTCTAAGATAGCAAAATTGTCCTTTGCCAGCACTGTGTTATAACTTATAAGCCTGTACTTCAAGAAAGCTTAAACATTTGGTTATGAGAAATATCTGATGGGAAAAATCCATTCTCTTAATGAATTGAAATGAATAGAAACTAATTGTATTATGGTCAAAGAAAAAAAGACAGAAATGAAAGAAATCGTCCAATTTTCTCTGCTGCAAAACAGAAAAAGAAATCTTGCATCAGATGCGAGCTTAAACACAAAACCATAAAACATCGCTGAACATTGAATTATTGGTCTTTATTTACAAAAAATGATAGTCTTAAATAGATTTATCAGATAAATGCGACAGCTCTAATTATATCTTGTGGGCTTTAATTATATTTTCAGTATGAAAAACATATTATTTTCTATCCATAAATGAATCATATTTTATCAATATTATATGAATCGTAGTCGCTGGTGAAGCGCGGTGTCTTGGGATGCGGAATTAGATTTAAGTCCAGTGTATAATAGAATGATGGGCTGCAATAAGTCCCCCCAAACGAACCATTAGGCAATCCCCTGAGGAGTATGATCGGGACGTATAACTCCATCAGTCACTGCAATATAATTTGCTGAGATTTAAGGTTGTCATATTTGATATAGATTAGGAATATAAAGCCAGGAATTATCCCGACAGCCCTAATGTGTTATCATTGTCATTGGTCATTTGAGCAGATAATTCAATATCTGTGGTATTTGGCGAGTACTGTGTTTACAATTAAACCAATTTTCTATCAAGCACTGATTTTGTTTTTTTCTCCTAAAAATGCACACATGCAAGGAACGTAATATTACGTTCAGTGCCTGGCGTAGGCCCAGAGGACATAGCTAATTTTGTGGAAACACAATGGCCCAATATTCAAATGTAATTTTGCTGAAAATCACAGCCAAAATGACTTCCTTTTTTAGTTTTCCTTTTAGATTTCATGCTTTTCAATTTTTTAAAATTCAACAGATTTCCTTTTTTGATTTTAAAACATTATCTGAAAAATGAATAATTCATATTCTTGATTCACAGTGAAGAAAACTTACAAGTGTCAAAGTGCATACACCTCATATGATTACGTAATAGAGTTGGGATATGAGATTTCCATCTATACCTTAAAAATATTTTCTGTATATCTAGTACATAATTCTTAAAGGAGAAACACATGTATATTAATTTTTCAAATTTGACTTTTAATATCACACAGCATGTTGTCTAACAAAGAAATAATTTGGCATTTAAAATGAACGATGTACAAACATGAAAGTTCAAACATGAAAATTACAATTGAACAATCGTTTTTGCAGAAAGAATTATTGAAACTAACTGAGATATTTAATTCATTTGCCTGAATAAAAAATATCCACAAGAACATTAAATTCTATATCTGACTGTGAATAATTCATGTTCAAAGTACACACAGAGAAAGACTATCTGTCTATCTCAGTGAACAAGAAAATTGGAAATCTCGTTTTGTCTGAATGATTTTTCTTCATTTCTCTAAAAAATTGGATTAGGTTAATTAAGATATCAACTGTGAAAATACATGGAAACACACCTGCATGTTAGATTTAATCATAGATTACTTGAACAATGTTACATAAATGTAAAAATTCTCTGCAGAAAAAAGAGAACATAATTATGTTCATGGTCTTTTTTTGCGCAATTGAAAACATATTACTCTCTGAATTCATTTTGCTTGTATTTTTTTTTTATTAGCCTCCATACAAATATGAAATGATAAATTGTCTCCAACACAAAATCAAAGACATGCCTGATTTGCACCAATGAAAAGACACTTAATTGGACGATTCAGATACGTACGGAAGAGAGGATTTTTTTTACCCAATTTTCATTACAGGAGAAACTCCAGTGACAGATGTATTCGTATCTGACCTGAACAGAAATAAAAATCACCCAACAGTTGGCTGGGCTTTTTCATGGAAAAAAAATCTGAAATACGTTTTAAAAATTTTGTAGTCCCTATTAACTTAATTAACAATGCATCTTTAACTGAAATGTTAACAAAGTGCATACTAATTTTTATTTTTCTTTAAAAATTAATAATACGAAATTGTACAAAATGAAATATTGAAAGTGGAATTCTCATCCTTGTGGAAGCAATATATATTATACAGTCTGGCCTACATAGACAGAATACACCTAGCACTTTCTTCAAAATACAATTAACCACTCAGTTACTAGTCTTTATATAAAGAGGGGAAAATCTTTTCCATAAAGCTTTTGTCAAAATTCTTAATGGAACAAATACTATTTACTTATTGGGTTTTAAATGGAAACAAATTAAATAATTCAAAATTTGTTAAATATCTTAAAACTTTGTTTAACATACCAAACTGTAATTCATTTTCTGTGATATTTTCACTGAACGATTTGTTCTTACTAAGGATTTATAGACAGCCTCCATGGGGCCAGTATCATATTCCCTGGTTCCTCCCCTAAACAACAGTTAATTATAGATCAGGGAAACCCCTAGCTCATCACTGTCAGAAGAAGACTGCCCTCATCACATAATAACAGGCCCCTGCACTGCTCTATCCACCTAATTACTGGTCCCCACAAACCCCGAACACAAGACAAGAGATACACGGAGCCTGACATATGACAAAATACGGAGTAAATAAAGGACTGTAATTACGATTTACAGGAAAACCTAGAAAATACGACAAGAGCTGAAACTGCCTGGCAGAAGAAGCTGGACCTGGGTAAAACTGGTGACAAGCTGCCACTCTGACTGGGATAAAAGCAGTCCCAAAGGACAGACTGCACTTCTATTAATTAACATGAATTCCATCTATAGCATGTGTGCTTACTGCAGATTTTAATTTTCTGTATTAATTATATCTGATTTGATCAAATAAGTTATGAATTCAAAAAATGCTCCAGTATATAACACAAAAAGAAATCCTTTTTTTCATATAAATAATGTGTTTTTTCCCTTTTATTAGCCTAAAAAAACTAATTATGAAAAAAAACCCCTCAATCTTAATTAGTTAATTACAACATATAAAGTCTTAGGGATTTTTCTGGCAATTCTCAACACCTGGTTAAATGTAACTGGTTGAAGGTTAAAATGCTTTTGTAATGGACATCCCTTGTGTTGAGAGCTAAAAATACGGCCACTGGAAGTCCAAAAGAATATCTGACTTATGTCTGATGTGACCTTGACCTTACACACACAACCACTGCATTTAATCAATAACAGACCTCTTTGGTCACAAGCAAGCAACCTATGTCCAAAATTTGATACTTATCCAATAAAAAGATTTAAAAATTTAAACCTCAAGATACCTTCAGAATTTAACCTTTCAGAGTTCTGTGACCTTGACCTTGTTTATATGAAATTTGTCCAGAGTCAAATCTTTAATGTGACTTTTAGCTTTTAGAAATGGTAATGGAATATGCTTAAGCCAAATTATGAACCTCAAACACCTCATTAGAAAGTTATAGACTGGAAATGATTGTGTAATGGTTTGGACTGTGGATATCGGCCTGGTAGCTCAGTCGGTAGAGCACCTGACTAGTGATGCTGGGGTACCAGACTTCATTCCCAGTCTAGCCATACATTTTCTCCCCTCCTGTTACAACTGCATTATAACACTCTATTCTACCAAATATTGTATTGTAGCCATCACATGACAGTACCCACTGAAAATGAAAACCTGGTAAAGAAACAGACTGTGACTGAGTCAGAAGACTTGTATCTGATCCTACTGCTATCAGTGGTACCTTGTACAGGAGGATACTGATTTATATCAATCCAAGGGAGACCCATTTTATCTGACTCCATTTTACATTCTGATTTCTATCAGTACAAACTACAAGTTCACTTCTTTGTAATGTGTAGTTAGACTAACATCATTTAAGAAACTGATGTCCTCATAAAATACATTAATATTCGTCTCGTTAATTTCAGCTCATTGATGAGGCTGGGGACTGAACTTAGAAAGAAAGTAAATAAAGAGTACAGATATCAGATAAAGTCTTAAAATCGGAAAAATCGTCTAATCTGATTATTTTTTACATTTCATGCTTAATATGCGATTTTAAAGATGGCCTCTATAATACACAGAGGGGGTGAAATGAAGGTCAGATCGAAGGAATAATCTCAGTTTTGTAAACTTATTGGATACTTTTATTTAAATTAAACATTTAAATTTAGATATAATTTGATTTAATATTGACAAATGACATATAACTGACTTATTTGTATTGAAATCATCAGAGCATGTTATCAATTATTTGTCATTAAGTCTATACACCTGCAAGGACACATCAAACGTCCTTGGAATTAGTGGTAACCATGCGTCTTGTATTCAGCAGTAGCTGTGGTTCCCATATCTGATTAAATGATATCGGCTCGGACATGACTTTCTTACAATCTGTTATAGTACAAAACTCTGCCTCTTCATCAAAACTTAAACTCATTAAATCAAATTTAATTTTCCAAATCTACTGTGAGCTCCAAGAACAGAATGGGAAAAAAGCAGAAGAAATAGGCATAAATGGGGGTTTTATTTTCCAGAAGTTACACCTCCATTCTCCCCAAGAGAAAGAAACATAAACAAAGAACACACATTACAGTCAATCTCTAAATGCTTCTCTCAATGCTCTATAAAATCACTTGATGCATATAATTTTAAAAGGAAAAATTTTTTCATTAGTGAAATGGATTTCCAGTGAGTCCACATATTAATAGAACTGATAATTGAGGTAATCACTCAAGAATCATGAGTTAAAATGTGTTACACACCAGAACGTTGTAACAATACATTCTGAATATGTACAAGTATCTTTGTCATATTTTAGTATCTATGTTAAACTTTCTTAATAAAACTTATATGATTTTAGTGTCTTGATTTAAAGTTTAGATTGAACTTGATTCCTTTTTGACAAGCACTTCAAGAAGGTAGGTATTGCCACTCCAGTTTGCATTGTTATTTGAGTATGGAGACATATCATTCTGGTGTGACTTTAGTGTATAGAGACGTACCGTTTTGACATAACTTTAGTCATAGCCACCAGAAGCCCAAGACTATGCTGTAGAAACTCGGCACCATCTTTATCGTCATCGATTGGACCCTGGACTTTACGGAAATACTGAGTCAGCTTATCTACTATTCCCACACTGACAATGTAACTGTGGAGGAAAGAAAATCAATTACACCACAGGCAACTAAACACAGGGAAAGAGAAATAACTCTTTCTGTGGACAAAATGATATTTGTGATTTTCTTGTTTATAGAAAATGAACACTTTTTGTAAGTACATTATACATAATATATACTGTTAGAATTAAAACTAAGTTAAATCAAACATATTTGGCCAGTTGCCTATCTATGGCTCAGATAAGTACAGCTCAGTGGTTGATCCGTGGATCACGTAAGCCGAGTTTAAACCCCAGTTGAGTCGGGATTACCTGAGTCGCAATTCTGTTGCACGCTATAAAACTGAGTAAGGTTTACCTAATCTTGACTTCATCATATAAGATGTTGAAGGATAATAGGTTTCCTCATATTACAGCACTTCAAAACAAGTTTTAATACTAGTAAATGGATGAAACTTAAAAGGATATATTTAAAAACAAAGATATATATTGATGTTAAATTGTAAATTAAAAATGCCGAAAAAATGCAATACAATTTAATTCAAATCACGGCATCTTTCATCGAAACTCAAACCATAAGAAAATATAAAATCGCAAACAAAATAAAGCTTTTACAAAAGACTGAAGAGAAGAAAACAGGGATGGGGGTCTTGGAATAAGTAATTTAGAAACAATACCAAAACACAAGATATGGGTAATTAATAAAGGAACAATATATAAATTTAGATTTGTAGTTTAAAAAGATCAAATGAAAAAAAAAACGTATAAGACATTATTTTTGAGACAACACATATTAGCTATGTTTTCTAGAGAATTTTTTACAGCGGCAAAATGATAGGGGACGAACATGCCCTCCCTCCCCCGGTTCCTACGGCCATGTAGATAGCCTGATTAATCAGATAACTGAAATACTTTTTATCCTTAGGAAAATCGGCATTATTAGAAATAATTGGAATGTGTATCATCATCAATTCCTAAATTTGATTTAAATTTGGTATACTGAGTATTAGAAAGTTTCTATAAAATTCCTGCTTATGTACATTTATGTATTTTAAAAGTACCTTCAAAAACTTTATATTACAGCTACATCAGTGTTAAAACGGCACATTGAACAGCTGTTAAAGAATTGTGCAAAAAGAAAAATCCCCATGCAATATGGCCATAAAAATTTTCTTGCAGAATAGCTCTTCTAATACTGCAAAATCTATCAACGCAATCATCATTACCATAAAACATTTCTGTAACATAGAAATATTTCAAATATCGAGATATTCTACCCAAAAATCCATGGAAATGTTATAAAGCCGGGTTTAAACCACCCCTACACCAGGTTTAGAATTTACCGTAATTCTGAGCCGTACTCAGTCAATCCTTACATGCGTGCAACGCGAAAACTTGGATTTAAACCCGGAATCATTGATCGTAGGTTTAAATCTGAGGTACGCAACCGGCCAATTATGATGTTTCCTGTAACAAGATTTAAAAATGTAAGTAGGTGAAGGTTCTTTTAAACTGTTCTCTATGCACTTCAATTTCCTTTTCACTATTAACATGGGAAATATTAATACTAGTAGTTAGAAATAAAAAAGTTCCACAACACACATATGTGATAGGAGAAGGTCTGATCATATTATGTAACTATATTTATATTTTGAAACAAAAGAGAAACAAACCTGATTTTAAACATTTGTTATCAAAGTGGATCAGTTTGTTTATGTTATTTATCATCAATGTGTGAAATAATTCAAAATCTTCAGATAATATACACGTAAATATACTGTATATCCATTTTTTTTTTCACATTTTGTGAAAAAGGGGTAGATTTGTACAGTTTTTATTTTGTGTAAGTTATTTTTTACAATTGAAGATTTGTTTTAAAAAAAATAGTAATGTTTTTATGTCCCATTATAGCTGACATAATTTCTGTATGTTTCATATTTAGCGAATTAAAAATAATCGCAGAAAAAGCGAAAAATAGATCATCACGAAAAAACTGGATATATGGTAGTAATATAATAAGAATCACCTGATGAGATCATTAGCTCTACTAGACACTGTGTCCACCGTCCCGCTCATTCTCTCGGCAGAAGCCTCACTGACGTTAGATGCCGGGTTATTTTTAGCCAGACAGGACAACACTGTAGACATGAGCTGCATCAGACTGAGGGCCAGCGCGTCGTATGGGAGTTTGTGTCCCTGGGACGTCCCGGAGATCGTGCCCGAGGACTGAGAACTTCCTGCCGACTGACCCGACCCGGGGCGAGACTGGTTCTCTGGTAGGAGGAGCTGTACAGAGAGAAAAAACGGCTATTTACTTTATTATCATCCCCTCTATACATGTTTTACTTAACAGTTTGCCGGAATTATTTATAACAACATATTTAATATTATTTGCATTGAATTTTAATTTTTAAAAAAGAAAATCATTTTTGATGATAAATGACAAAAACAATGTACAATAAGATAACACTCCTTACCATCAGTCTCTGGACGAGTAGATCGGCTATAATTCCGATCTTGTTACTGAACAACATGTAGTGACAGTTGTCGTAATGACTTTTACAGGCTTGGCGGAACACATTACAAGTCAAGGTCAGGGTCCTGTAAAAAGAAACAAAGATTTTACCAATGGAAAATGAACTGTAATATACATGCACACTATCAAAAATAACCTTTAAGAGCAAACACTTATCTTTGACCTCTGACCTAATGTAGATTACTGACCTAATTTCTAAGTTCAATTACTTGAGGGGGGAATGAAAGGATCTGACCTACTTTCTACGGAGAATACTTTAGTAAAAAATGTTGGGAGCTGACCTACTTTCTATGATGACTTACTTTGGTGGGATAACTAGGGGTAATTCTGGAGTGGCGTACACTTTATATGGTGACTTACTTTGGTGGGATAACTGGGGGTAATTCTGGAGTGGCGTACACTTTATATGGTGACTTACTTTGGTGGGATAACTGGGGGTAATTCTGGAGTGGCGTACACATAATATCGATACTTACTTTGGTGGGATAACTGGGGGTAATTCTGGAGTGACGTATACTTTATATGGTGACTTACTTTGGTGGGATAACTGGGGGTAATTCTGGAGTGGCGTACACTTTATATGGTGACTTTCTTGGGTGGGATAACTGGGGGTAATTCTGGAGTGGCGTATACTTTATATGGTGACTTACTTTGGTGGGATAACTGGGGGTAATTCTGGAGTGGCGTTGTCTAAGACATGGAGGAGTCTACAGAGACTGTTCAGTCCACCCAGCACCCGCAGGGCATTCTGGTCCTGTCCACTCTGTAGATGAAAATAGCAACAGTCCACAAAGGAACATGGCACAATTATATTAATCTGACAACTGTAGTAATTATTCTTACAGCAGCAAATTTATCAACAATAAAAAATATTACTGTTAGAAAACAATGTTGTACAGAATTTTATGATGGAAATTCTTCTGAATAGATGCATAAATGTACCGTTAAAAGTTTTTTAAAAGAGACTGCACACATAGTCCAACATTACTTATTTTCACACAAAACAGTGTTACTAGAGCTTACCTTTTTGTCTAAAATCCTGCTGATTTCCCCTAATGCTCTGTCTAGGGCTGACACTTTGTTCTGAGGCCAGGGGCCTGAGTCCTGGGTCTGGAGATATTTGTTGATGTCTCGGACTATTTTATGTATTCTGTAAATAAACCAAACTTGGACTCAAAATTCAGCATAATCAGAAACAGTAAATGAAATTTATCTTTACAAAATGACAACTGAAGATTCCCTGCTTTGTTGTTTATAGAATTTTAGCAGTTTAGAATTTTATACAATATTTAACATTACCAACTTTGCTTTGTTATTTCCATAAATTTAGGATTTAAGTACATGTAATACTATAACATCACTCACTTTGCTTTGTGTTCAGACTCGACTTGCTGCTGTTTCTGAGACAAGGAATTCTCATACTCATGTCCTCTGTAATATAAAATAAGAAACTTCAGTATAGATTATGACTATGCATCTTCCCTTCTTTGAATTAAAATTACAAAAAGTAAATAATGCAATCATAGATAAATACCCCTACTCCTCCCAATTTTTTTTTTTGGGGGGGGGGGGGTTATTCTTGCTACAGTTTCCTACCTTGTGGTCATCCTCTGTCGGAGTTTCTTTGACCTCTTCTTCATGGACTTGAGTCTCTCTTTCTCAGACACAATCTTGGGGTGGGTGCTGTTGGTCGGGGCATTCACAATGTGCTTCAGATTAAAGTTCTCCTGTAAAACAAAACAGATCCTTTGTCACTTTACATGTATATCAATATAAACTTTTATCATTATATTATTTATAACAATGTCTTTTTAACGAGAAAGATTTAGCTCAAAACCTCTCTAAAAATTATTGTTCATAAAATTATTTTAAAAACAATTTCACACCTGTACTCCCTTCTTTTCTTCAAAGATTTATGATATTCAAATAAAGGTGTATGTACATGTATCAATATGATATATGACTGCAAAATTGGCATTAATAAATCTGTTTCTGTCCAAAATGTTTGTGTTCTTAGGTACTGTATACAGGGTAATTTTCACCCAATGTTATTTCCGCCCTGTCACATTTGGAAAAAAGTTTGTCCCATTCTAAATTTGCCTACTAGAATGATTTTTATATAATACTGCTTACTTCGAATTTGCCCTGTTTAAAACTTGCCCACTTACAACTAGGGCCAAAGGGATGAAAATAAAACAGGGGCAAAAGTTTCCCTGAATACAGTATTTAATTCATTGCACTTAAGCATTTTAAACAGGACAGTATGACTGCCCCTGAGTTTATCTTCTTACACAGACTTACAATTTCCTGTTTAGACATGGCTTTCCCTGAGTTGTTGTCCTGTAATGCCTGCTGATGTTTCTTTCCCCTCAGATGACTCAACAAGTAAACCTCTGATGTTATCTATTAAAACAAAACAACAAAGATTCAATGTAACTCATATGAGACTTTCAGGAGGTAAGAGTACCAGTTGATTTGTCTATGGTGTCCCACATAGATAGACAAGCAGACTGACTCTTTGACTTGTATGAAAATAAATGATCAAATTCAGTTTTATTTCATTATTCAAGATAATCCCTCTCCAGAAAAAAAATTACCAGATTAATAAGATGGTACATCTATTCAATAAAGACAGCTGCAAGTAATTAAAAAATCTTTAAAAATTGTATTTTTTTTGGACATAAAATTCAATTTCAGTAGATCTTCAAACTCCTCCTCCCTCCCCCCAATTCAGCTTTTTAATCTTACCAGCACATTACAGATAGTACAGAGTTTCTTGTGGTCGTATGGTACGATGTTTGGAGATTCGTTATGTTCTTCTGTCAAGTGTTTCAGTATACTAACCAGTGCGTTACAGATAGTATAGAGCTTCTTGTGGTCGTATGGAAAAACATTTGGAGCCTCGTTATGTTCCTTCGTCAAGTGTTAACTTACCAATGCGTTACAGATAGTACAGAGCTTCTTGTGGTTGTACGGTAGGACATTCAGAGGTTCGCTATGTTCCTCCGTCAAGTGTTAACTTACCAATACATTACAGATAGTACAGAGTTTCTTGTGGTCGTACGGTACGACGTTGGGAGCTTCATTATGTTCCTCTGTTGAGTGTTTCAGAATACTCATCTCGAACGCCTTCTCCCGAATCTGCTGTAAATTCTCCTGGTGCCGCTGGCTCGTCTCATCTTGCTGTAAAAGTTAAAATAAATCAAGGATTCAATATAGTTAACTTCATCCAAATAGTTTTATTGAATTACTGTATGTGTACTTGAATAAGTGGGCTTCATAATTTAGCAGCTTTGGTGCACACATTGATGTGCTAATACATGAATACCACTAAGAAATCATATACAAACACAGTATACTGTGCAGAAGTGTATCAATACACCAACAACTCCGTATCCAGTGATTGCACCAAATTTTGAATACACCAATTCATGTATATGTACAGTATTTATTTGCAGCTCACTGAAATAAAATTTGATAAACAGAATAAGGGTTCCCACCTTTTGCTGGATTTTCTTCTGTAATTCCTGGATGTGTTGTTGATGCTGAGCATTAAGTACTGCCAACCTCTCTTCTCTCTCTCTGTTACAAAAACAAGGGCTTATTTAATACAAGTCCTTTTATACTGAATCTTCTATTTTCTCCACCTATTGTAAATGAACTTACCAAAGCCAGCTTCATATTTTTTAGGCTTTGGCTTTAACATACTGTAGAAGTACTTTTTTCCGCGTGGTATCAATTTACGCTATGTACGCGGTCACAAATTTTCCGAGGAAATTTGTCCAAGCGTTCTTAATGTATAAATAAGGCATTTAGTGACAATCTAGAAAATCCGCGTAATTTTCTACCCGCGGATTAAACAGAAATTGAAATTCCGCGGAATTATGACCCCGTGGAAAATAGTATGTCTACAGTATGCGTTATTTCATGAATACTGTTAAGAAGTTATTAATGGATACAAAGAGCAGACTTGTGTGTAGCAATAATTCATGATTACGTCAACCACTCCATATCCAATGGCTGAGCTAATTTCAATACTTCGATTTATGTACATGTACAGTACATAGAGTGTCAGATATTAAAGCATAACAGAGAGATATCCATGCCTTGTATTTAGATCAACCCTGACCATTGTCCTTAACACAGCATAAAAGATAACCCTGACCTTTCCTCCCTAACACAGAGTGCACTTGATTACACTGACCTTTCCTTGGCCCTGATGTTTTCCAGCCTTTCCTTCTCTCGTTCCTGTTGCTGCTGTTCTGCCCGGGCAGATCTCTGTTTCCTCTTTTCCTCCATTTCCTTCAGCCTCGCCTGTCTTTCCGCCTCCAGGGCTTTCCTCCGTTCCTCCACTGCTGCTTCCTTTGCCAGCTTCTCTTCATGACGGCGTTGTCTCTCGTCCTGTCACATAAAAATAACAGTGTAACTTATGAATACAACACACACAAATATAGTGTAATTACATGTAAATGTAGAAATAGCCTGAAAAACGAGGCCTTTTTCCATGCATCTCTTCTTTTTATTTGAAAGCAGCATTCACATATCATGCATAATTTGAACTAAATAAAGTAATATGACATTACTCAAGGATTAAAACTTAGTTTCGTTCTAGTGGGAAAAGAAGCATTTAAATAAGCAGCATTAAGCCTCAATGGACAATGAATGTTTTTTTCCTTCCACATTGACCGTGACACACCCACCTGTATGTCTTGTAGTCGAGCCTCAGACACCTGGTGTTTAGACATTATCTCGTGCCGTTTATTCTGAGCCTCCAATGTGTTGATAAATTCTATTTCCTTGCCCTTGGAAAAGTACAAAGAAAATAAGCTTATCCCCTTCCAGGAATAAATATAAACTGAAACTTTTAGTGCCATGCAAACCAAATTATCTAGAGGCCATGGAAAGCTTGCCATTCTAAGCCAGGTCAAATAGAATAAGAAATTAAAAAAATATATACAGTCCTACACATTATATTTGATGATTCAAATAATTAATCTTTGAATTTGCCACCTTTAAAATAAAACTGTGTTATTTAACACTTACACTGTAAAACATGTATTTGGATAAATTTTCTTTGTTTTTCTTTGTGGCAAATTTGCAATGTAATAGTTCTTCACAAACTTTCAACATTAGCAGTATACAAAACAGAACTGGATCATTAAAGAATATACTGCTGGTATTTAGCCTGACCTTTGCTTCCTCTTCGTGAGCTTTCTGAGCCTTTATCCTGATCTGTAACTGACGTCTCTCCTCGGCCTTCGCCATCTTCCTCTGTATTGTACCCTTCCTCTGTTGTAAGAGCTCATCCTTCCAGGCCCGCACCTCCTCCACCTGTCAATATATATAAATAGTGTAAGTCGATTTTTAAAATTCCATGGTGTTAAAATTTCACTATTTCTCAAAAAGTACCAATCATGATGGTTTTAATTTCAAGCTGCAAGAAATTAATTTTAATTTTGTATAAGCATTTAAGCGTTTTAAAAACTAACGATAGAATTCACCATAGTCAAATTAAAACCATCGTGATTATTTGCCATTTACAGTATTTATTTCCATATATAATTTTTTTAACACAGATTTCATTTTAAAAATTATATAGACAACTTCTCAACAATGTTTCAAAACCTATTACCTTTTTAGAGATGTCCTTGAGTCTCTCGGCTTTTTCCTGCATTAGTTTTTCTCGGAGTTCCCGGGCCTTGGCCTGTTTTTGTTCATGTCTCTTTCTGGATTCAGTGGGAGATCTATCAAAAGGAGAAGATGACAAGTTAACAAAAGGCTTAAATTTAAATAGACTGTACAATTTTTCTCTAAAATAAAATGAAGTAAGCACTTTCTGGGAGACAGAGAAATTTTTAGGCATATAACTTGCCCTATGCATCACAAGGCCAAAGTTCTGAAATTTACCCGTACTTCTTTTGACAGGAAAAGTAATGACTATGTTTACCTTCCATAATTTTCCTAGCAAATTTTTGTCTATTTAAAACGAGTGCATTTGAAGGTCTCAGTCAAAATCAGCATAACAAAATAAGATCTTCATTTTTACTTGTCGAGAACATTTATGAGTGAATTTGTATTTGGTATATATACAGTAACTGAGTATTAAAGTGTATTTTCCGTCACCTTTTTCGGGAGGGTGAGGAGAGTTTTTCGTGCATGTGTACGGCATGCCCCGGGGTCCTGACTTCCTCTTCGTCCTCCTCCACCATCTCCCCCCATGACTTGTTACGCTCACTCTCAGACTTGGCTACAGAGGAAAAATAATATCACATCAAAATTATCATTACTGAGTGAAGCGAGGCTGGGCTCCCCCCACGACTTGTTACGCTCACTCTCCGACTTAGCTGCAGAAGGAAAATAATTAACACATACAAAACCAACACACCAAAATTATCATTACTGAGTGAAGCAATACTGGGCTCCCCCAACGACTTGTTATGCTCACTCTCTGACTTGGCTAAAGAGGAAAAGTAATTAACACATACAAAACTAACACACCAAAATTACTACTTTACAAAGCAACACATAGTGAAGCAAGAAATTGACTGGGCTCACGAAAGACACAAAAAAACACAAGAAAAAAATTCAATTTTTTAAAATTCAAATGCATGATTATGAAGCTTATACATCTTTTTAGTAAATTTTAAAGCTACATGTATTTTAAATTCTTCAGATTAATTTTCTTTATTAGTTATAAGTACATTTGACCACGTTGACCAGTTTATAAATAATATGTATATGAACTATTTTTAAAGTACCTTCATACTGAGCACATATTGTGTCCCAATCCAGTGATTTCTGAGAGGATTCTAGGGAGCTCATTGTGTTCTAAAACAAAATTAGTTCTTTAAATAACTTTTCAGTATGCATTTTCTAAATTTCAAGTATATCGAACAAAAAATTTACACACATGAAGTATAACAGTGAGTAAAGAAAACAAAAGAGATTGAAACCACCCACCCATATTGTTAATCCTGATGGACTATTGTGTAATACATGTACATCAAACCTTACCCCCAGCTCATTCTCCGTTTCTGTCTCTGTCTCGACTTCGATGACGGTGTTTTCCTCGCGGGCGAGTTCCTTCAGCCAGACCTCCTCTTCCTCTATGGCCGTCTGTATCGCCTGCTGTTGCTCCGCCTCCAGCTGATTGGTCAGTTCTTCTTCCTCATCCATTGCCGACGCCAGGGCCTGGAAATCATCATTAATTAGACTACATCTGCCAATCATCACAATTATCAATGTACAGCGCACAATAATATCAAAGTCAATCGTAAATTCATCTTTAGCCAATATAGTCTCCACAGCTTTCCAGCAAAGCTCACCTTGTCTATGACCAGAGCCTCTTCATCTTCTGTTGCAGATTCCTCCATCACCGGGGATACGGCCTTGACCTCTTCCAGAATTTTATTTACCGGTCCTTCGTCTTTGACCTCTATGGGTACTACCTCTAGTTGAAGCTTTTTCTCCGTTCTCTCCTCTATGGTTAGGACAGAGGGGAGAGATCTACTGTCCTGTTTGACAGGCGTATTGTAGGACTGTACAGTGGGTGGGGACAGACTGCTCTGTTTGACAGAGTGGCTGTAGGATTTTGTGGGTTTACTTAGCGACCCAGTGGACCCACTTTTACTGGAATCCAGTCTGGATCTCGAGAGTGACAGGGTCTGGGGGCGGTTCTCTTTCTCGCTGTCTCGTCTTTCCCCCAGGGAGGTCCTGAACACAGATTTCTGAGGTGGTGTCCGACCTTTACCTCCCCCGTGATTCCAGGGTGGCCTCCTCTGCCCTGATGTGTGTGGGTCTGAGTATGTCCGCTGGAGTTTGGCTGGCGATTTCCCGACCCCAGTCAGATTCTCCAGGGACCGCTGAGAGGGAGAATTTCTGGCACGACCTTTTGGTGGTCTGTGGACAGTCTCCCAGCCTTCATTGTCATCTGAAACAAAAATAATATTACCATAATTTTACAGTACAACACATCCCTTCTTATTATTCAATATTTCACTGCATTTACAAAGAAGTCACTTTTAAGCTGCAAATCTCTTTTAGGCCAGCATTTTTTTATTTTTAGGTTTACAAACCCGCCGCTCAAGTTTTTGCATTTTCAGAAAAAAAATAAAATTGAGAAAAACAAATTTTTTCTTTCCGATGTCAAATTTGAAATTAAATTTACGATGAACATGGCGGGTAATGAAGGGAGATTTGTGTCAAGTCCATAGCAGCACTAAAGCTTGATTTAATGTAAATATTTATCTGCCATTCAAAACGTTTCACCCGTTCAGAGAACAATAAAATGCTGCATGTTGGTGAGATAATTATGTATCCGTATTCAAAAGTAACTGTGTCTGTAATTGTAAATTATTTTCCTCCCACAGGTTTAAAACTGTGTGTATTGTCAGAGACATTGTTTATGTTTCTGTCATAGCTTTCTGTCATTCTTCAGAAGGGTCGCTTATGCATCAGATGTAATGAATAAAACTATGGGAGAAGTTAAATCCATTTGAGGAAGAAATAAACAATAGCCTAAAGAAATATTTCAACTATTTAAAAACAAGAATATACAAATATATACAGGCATATAGTATCGTTTATGGCGGCCAGAAAAATTATTTTACACTTAATTGAAAAAAATTCCTCCCTACTCCTCAATACTCCTTGGGAATACTCCCTGTCTGTTTTATGAAAGGAATTATTACTTTTATAGATCTAGAGTGAATTAATATTTTAGATTAATTTCTAAGATATATTAAAAGAGATTTAAAAAATTGATTTTTTGTTTTAAAAAATCTGTATTTTGTCCATGCAACATCAAAAGATTTATGTCACTGCCCCCAACTGGTAGATGATGAAATAAACAATTAAAGGTTGTATTTTCCCCTTTGTAACCCTTATGTGTCCAGTGGCAAGAAGGTGGAGAGCATAAAAAAAGAAGCAAAAATTAATGTAGAAAAGTCGATAATGTATCCAAAATATAATTTTTTTTTTTTTTTATTTCCTCCTCCTACAGGACTTTTTCATTCTGATGTTCGTAAACCTAAAAATAAAAAAATGCTGGCCTTAAAGAGAAAACAAGAACTGAAATTAAATGATGAGCTATCAACCTTCTATAGTAGTGCTTCCATCTGTATCCACATCATCTGTGTGTCCGTTCTGCTTTGGGGGTGGGGAGGGTAACACTGGCCCGGGGGATATGGGGGATGTGCTACCTTGTACTTGTGGGGAGGCTGGGGTAGGGGTCTGGACCCCATCTGTGCGGGAGGAGGTGGGGGTGTTGGATTTACCCCTCACTTTATCTGCCCAGCTGTTCCCATCTTTTATATTTTCTGTTCTGGAAAATAAAAAAAAAACTTTAGGGAACACAAATTTCTATAAGCGCAATCAAAAGATAAATGAGATCCTATAACAGTATTACCTGGAAGAGATGAATTTATTTTAAATCACACAGCATAAATTTAGAAATATTTCTGCAAATCTCCATTTCAACAAAACCCTTTTAAATTTCTTATTTACAGATATGAGTTTAACATAAAACTGCTTGGTTGTGGGTAACCCTTACTCTGATCTGTTGAGATCTGTGAACTGTAGGACCCGCTGGGCGGGGCTGGTGGGGGTGTTGATAGGGACCTGTCCCTGGCTATTGGCCTTCCCTGGAGACATCTTCCTCACCTCCCAAGCAATTGACGTGGGCCTGTGGAAATTCAGTTAAAGAAAACAATTATAAGGATATCTATGAAACAATCTAGAATACTCTCTCATTTAATATAAATAAAATACTGTAGATCACTAAATTTTCGTGACACCTTATTTTCGTGATAGTCATTGACTCTTTATAAGCAAGGCATAATTTTCATGAATTGTTAGTATTTCTCTATACAATCTTAAGGAATACTATTATACATGAGAAGAAATTTTCGTGTGCTCACTGTCTTGTGTAATTATGCGAAAATAAAGTTCTCGTGAATAAAAAGTGATTTACAGTATTTTACAGAAATAAAATTAACTCATACATTATTTGAATACATTTCAAGCTTACTTGACTATTATCTTGAGTAATTGATATAAAGGATTACATTTGGTTTATTTACCTGTGCTCTTGTATTTTATCTGCATTATAAATGACAGAATATTGAATTACTATTTAAAGAACATCCAGGAGAGTCTATAGAGTACCTCAGGACCAAACATCAGATATAATTACAGGTGGCACCACTTACCTGTCCCCTTCTTTGGTGGCGTCCTCGTAAGCCTTCATTGTGTGGAGTCTCTCTATCAGTGATTTAAAATCACGAGTACTGTTGTCCAACATCATGATCACTTCCTGTGTAAAAAATGTAACAAATCATGATTACTTCCTGTCAAAATGTTACAAAATAAGATTTCCTGTCAAAATAAGCGAGTCCAGTGTAAAAATGTAACAAAATAAGAGTCCAGTGTAAAAATGTAACAAAATAAGAGTCCAGTGTAAAAATGTAACAAAATAAGAGTCCAGTGTAAAAATGTAACAAAATAAGAGTCCTGTCGTAAAAATGTAGCAATATAAGAGCCAAATGTTTCAATCTAGTGTTTCATTGCATCAATTATTTTCCTGTCTGTTTGCCATGACCTTGAACCTCAGAAAAATAGAATTGTCATACATTATTCATCTAGATAGACAATATCTGTATCTGTGAAATGTAGTCCTACGACAATATTCCTGCTAATGTTCACAACATAATGCAATAATTTTCTCCACGATTCTGTGTTGGATTGGATATAGAGTTCATGGACTTACACCAGTATATTTGCAGCATACAAGCCCGCATTACTTTATTAACAATGTTTTATATATCTGTATGTAATTAATTAGTTGTTTCTGGAGTAACTACATTCAGTTTCACTACCAATGAAATGAGATTTGCATTTTAAGTTAAAAAGTAATCTGGTCTCGGATTATTTTAATCACTGTTAATAAGGTTTTAAAGTTTTTTTTTAAGATACACTTTCCATAAAAAGCCAAATTTCAGAGGCAATGAAAAATTTATATGTAAAATCATCATCAAAGACTGAAGACATTCTTAAGATTCTGGGAATTAGAACATCCAAGATTATGTGTCAAAAGGAAAATAAACAAATTCAATTCCTGAAACATCATCAATCATAAATCCCTTCTTAACTTTGAATTCTAAGACAAAAATCCCTTGTTTACCTTACATTCTAGGACACTTTTGTCTGTGTTGTAAATAGCACACATCCCTTGTTTACCTTGCATTCTAGGACACTTTCGTCCGTCTCACATGTGTCATAAATAGCGTCCACAGCTCGCTGTAAATTGTCAAACAGGAACTTCCAGTAGCGAGCCCGCCGGTCCGATTTCCTGGTCCCGGAGTCAGATTTCGGAGATTTGGTCAGGTCCTGTAGACTTTTAGTGTCAGACTCAGATACAGATCGGGATTTATTCTTTTGTTGTGTTTGATCCTTTAGTGGTTTCTTGTAGGATGACTCTGAAATAGAAGGTTTAGTATCTTTATAATTCTACACTAAAGAATGACTCAGGTCACCACAATCAACGGAATGTTAATGCCTTTCAAATGCTGAACTTGTCTGACAACTTTAAGTGTATAACTGTCTAGATATTGTACTAGCTTGTCTGTATGACTGTGTGGACATTGCCTGTATACAATGGTATAACTGTCCAGACATTGTCTGTATAGCTGTCTACATACTGACAAAATCATTGCTGAATCAGTTGATTACTCAATACTGGGAATTCTTATACATAATATAAGTGGTACACTTACTCAAATAAACAAATCAATAAACAATATCTCTGATTTGTTACGATATTGAGAGATTTTCTCAGCTTACCTGAGAACTGAAATCTTGAGAGCCTCATGACTCAATGCTAAACTCTCCAGACAGTCAACATAGACCCAGCCTTAAACCAAGAAATCCCAACCAACACAAACAGGAACACTAGCACACATTAAAGAATCAAAAAAAGGTCCACCTTCCAGCAGCAGTACAAATCTTAATTCAGTGATTGCTCAGACAATCCTGGGCTATAATGCTCGGTACTATAAACTGTCATTATTTCTACTGCTGTTATGCTGCATATCGGTGTGTATTGATAATAACAATAAAATCAATATCCCCCCAGAATTGTCCTGTATTCAGCCTCCCCATTACTCTCCCACTATAACTGGGTTACAGATTCCCTATGGATGCGGCTCAGGTCTCTCCTTGTCTATCATTCATAGGTTTACTTACCCAGGGTAAGTGATTAACGAGGATATATTGCTTAAATTTATGCACTCTAAACATTATGCAATGAAACATGAAATCCTAATGATTACAAGAGTTAATACAATTTATTATAAAAAAAAAATATCAGAGACAATTGACCTATTTGTTGTAGTGATCATATATTTAGTTGCTTGACCTATTTAAAAAATGACTTGGTATGTTTTATGTATAAGACAGATAGGTTGCCATTCTCATTCATTTACTCTACCAGTGTCCAGAGAAATTAATGTTTGATTACACAAACAAACAAATGACCTGACTTCAAACAATCCCCAGGTTTCAGAGAACCACACATAATAGATATTATCTGTGTGTTGTCTACTTGTGTGTTGCCTTTCCTGTATGTTGTCTTTAACTGCATGTTGTCTCATATGATTTGTCTACCTATTTGTTGTCTCACTGATAAACCATTATGTTGTCTAACTGTGTGTTGTCCTACCTGTGTTTTGTCTTTTCTGTGTGTTGTCTTTCCTGTATTTTACTTGATGTTGTCTTATACATTTTGTCTACCTAAGTGTTGTCTCACTAGTACACCCCTATGTTGTCCTACCTGTATGTTGTTTTACCTGTGTGTTGTCTTACCTGTGTGTTGTCTTACCTGTGTGTTGTCTTACCTGTGTGTTGTCTTACGTTTACGTTGTCTTACCTGTATGTTAATTGTTTATCTGTGTCTACTTTTATGTTGTCTGACTGGTGTAACAATATGTTGTCTTACCTGTATGTTGTCTTACCTGGGTGTTGTCTGACTGGGACATTGTAGATGACTAGATTTCTAGCTGTTCTTCCCTCCTCCTGGACTATTTTACGGACGTGATCATAACTATTCATTCTGGTGAGGTTCTGATGCTGTAAGTAACAAACACTAATATATAAAGTCAAATTACTGTACAATGTTGTTTTTAACTTATCATGTACATATAAAACAAGGTGTATGTTAAAGATGGAAGCTTCAAATAGTGAAAGGTGGACAGACAAACCCTGCATAGGTAACTTTTACATTTTTATTTCAGAAGAGGCATTCAGTGACACCCCCCCCCCCCCCAAAAAAAAAAAAAAAAGAAATAAGTAAAATAAAATAAAAATGTTCAAAGGGCAAGGGGAATGCTCTGAATAGATTGCACATCAAATTATGGGAAAAGTAATTAGAAATGTTATGTGTGTACTGTTTCTGTCAGACTAAAACTAATATTCTGAACAAGACACATATATACTATACCAGTATCCTGTAGCCAAAAAATATGATAGTTAAGGATCACAGAAGTCTTCACTGACTGTGTTGACAGGATATTTTTCAAAGAGGATTTGCCAAACTTTTTGATTTCAAACAGCTGTCTACTGGACATTGTCGCAAACCACAGGCAAAATGTATGATCCTCTCCAATTCTGGCCTTGGTTGAATGAGAAGAGAATATTTCGTAGCTCATCGAAATATTGACCAATGCAAATAAAGCATAGTGGGAAAATGAACTTTGACACATTGAACCTTTCAATACCCAGTTGCAGTGTTGATGGTCCATCTTGAAAATTAAACAATCTACATCCTCGGAAATGTTTTAATTTTAATCAATGGATGATAAATTCCGGAATTTCACATTCTCACATATGTCCATTAGTTCTTCTATTTCTCAATACTATTTCCTTTATGGGAATGAGAAATACTTTTAATGTTTAAAATTGGATTGAGATCAGTGTAATTCTCCTCTTAGTCATGTTGTCTTAGTCAGACAACTAAATGTGCCTCTAATCTGAAGAGTTCTTGTAATGGAAATTGAAAGTACATGTACTGTGCTTTCATTAATATTTGCAGCAATTTTCATTTCAAGGTTTTCTTTGTAAAGCAGATCCATATAGAAATATGTTAATTATTTGTGCCAGTCAGCCGGGTTCGATCGCCAGTGGCCAGATATATGTCAGCTGGTAGAGCACCTGACTTTTTTTTAAGTTGCAAGAACTTGTAACCAATCCCTTTGTATAAATTATACAATAAAATATGTTCAAAACCTGACTGGAGAATTAAGAGGCCTGGGTTCAAATCCTGGTCTGGTCCACTGCATTTTCTCCTCTCCCGTTACAGTTGGTGCCCAATCCGACTAAAGCCAGACCTCTATTGATGCTAAAGCCAGACCTCTATTTACGTTATCGCATAGAGGTTTCACTTTTCATTTACACCCAGATTCCTGCCGAATGCCTCTATACGATAGCGTAAATAGAGGTCTGGCTTTAGTCAGATTGGTTGGTGCCATGCCATGGCCTGGAACTGACAAGAGGCCTACCAGGGATGAACCTGTGTTGGGGTCTTTGAGGGACCAAAGACCTTTAAGGAGGGAGGAATGTGGTGATCAGTCAGGTTCGTTTGTCAGTGGCCAGGTAGCTCAGTTGGTAGAGCACCTGACTGGAGATTCAGGGGTCCGGATTCAAAACCGGGTCTGGTCCACTGCATTTTCTCCTTTCCAGTTACACATTTGTATAGGCAATGCTTTTGTCTACTAAATTTTCTATCCTTGAAAACATCTGTTTTACATGAAAACTGATGAAACCACAGTATGGAAAATTTAGACACACAAAAGCTATCTTATAGATTAACATCATTTTATTTAAAAGTGAACACAATTTTTTTCAGGAAAGCATGCATTGTCATTATCATTTATAGAATGCCAGGACAAATGATCTCTCTAGGTCCAGTAAGATTTACCCTGTCTTCAGTGAAAAACCATACAACTGATCAGCAGAAGCCAACCATAGGACTCTAGCTTTGCCAGCAACAATTCTCATGTACCCATTTTGTTCACTATTTTGTAATATTAAGACAATCTCACAATTACACTACCAGAAAATTATATTACTGTGTAAGTGTAGTATAGAAAGAATTTACATGTTCAAGATAAAAATATGTGGCTGGACCAGGAATTGAACCCTGACCCCCTGTATTACTAATAAGTAAGATTCTCCAACCATTGAACTACCTTGGCCAGCATCTACATCCCAAATAACTATATAGGAAATGGCTACAGAAACCTATGAAAGGTCCTTGCATACTGTTTGTACAATAAGTGTTGTCCCCAACACATGGGGGCCAGAGAACTTCCCCGCATTTAATGATGAAATCCCACAGTAAGGTGGTTACTCTGGTACTCTCATCCCCGTTATGAGATACCCATGACCCCCTTCTACATTCTAAATGTCCCCTGCTATTCTAATTCTTAGGAACAATCCTTACCATTCTCCCTATGTACACCTACCAGTCAAAATCACCTTTGAGTGTGACATTGTTCCTTTTTTAATTACAGCTTTAAATGTGTAATATAAACAGATTTTCCAAAGCAATATCAAGGCAAGCATTGAAAAATATGAAAGTAAACACTTTATTATCAGGCTACCCTTTATAGAGTATGCATAAAAATCTCATGAGATGACATGAGATTCAATCTTTAACACAAGTTAATTTTGACTTCTTCAATATTTCTTGAACAGGTCCAAACCTATATTAGATACACAGTGCATAATGCTTATAAACAGGTCTAGCAAATGTTGCTAAAGACATGAGTCATTCGATCACTTTTTAAAGAGATCATCAAACAACTTTTTTTCCGAAAAAAATCTAGTCAAACTCTACTTAAAATTCCCTGACGACTTACGCTAAACTGGGAATTGTTATTCCGACTTGATCCCCGCAATGGGGCAGACGAGTTTCTGTGGTTGTTTTCGCCGTTATCTGGCCGCGTGCGCTGCCCTGGGTTGTATCTTTTTCTCCTATTATCACTCATGGTGCTATGCAGTTGTATACAGTGAGGTAAAATCGGTCATAAGTCATAGGTGCCAAAAATACCTGAAGAAGTGTAACGAGTGTTATCTCGATACAAAATATTTATTCGGAATCTCTCGAATTATAAACTACTGGACCGCAGTGAATGATGAGTAAACATTTATTTTCTTGTTTGCCCCCAAAATAAATATCCACATGTTGGTTTATTTAATTTAATGTAAAAAGTTCAATAAAAAATGAAAATTCAAATCAATTAAGCCTTTATTTGATAGAATATTAATAATGAATTCTATTCGGAAAACCTCGGACTCGGGAAGTCTTTTTCGTGGGAAATTTAAAATGGCAAACAGCGATGAGACTTTGGTTAGTTTTTCTTTTGCAAGATCTTTCAAGGAATATAAGTTTTTCAATTCATTAGACAATGACATAAATATGCATGGATTACAGTAGGTAATTTCTTAGAAAGGATTTGAGAAATTATTGATATTGATCGGTTACTCCAACAACAAGTTTAGAACTAAACTAAAGCTAGAGTTTGGTTGCAAGAAAAGGGTAGGCCCTAGAGCGCCCCCAAGTATTGAATACATTGTGACATTTAAGATAATTTAAAACTTTTAATTGAAGCATGCAGTATTAAATATTGATTTTTATGACCCATTTTCGAAGATTCGGGGATATAATTTTTTTGTCATGTCTGTCCGTCTGTTTATTTAACTTTTGAGTGGGTGAGGCTATGTATGGCATGCCAAATTCCCAAAAATTAGTACTAGGGCTTTCATATTTCACAGGTGTTTAATCCTTATGAAAAAGCCTTTCTTTGAATTTCAACAATTTTGACCCTGACCTTGGAGTTTACCTTGCATTTGAGAAATTTCATCCATCTCTATAAGCTACCAATCGTGGGACATCTGTGTTTCACAAACACTTCTTTTATTTTAACTTTTGTATCTTTTCAGAGCAAGTTTGTTCTTGAAATAAAAACAAAGTACGAGTCATTAATCAACGACTGGAAGACTTACAAAAATGACAAAAAAGAGGAAGAAAGTGCAAAAGAGGTGATTGTTGTACTTTTTATTTAACAAAATGATATATCGCGGACGTCCGAGAATTTAGTCACAAGAGTTTCAAATTAAAAAACAAAATCGAATTCTGACCCAGCCGCTAATTCAGCTGCTATTGCTTTCTGCAGGATGAGGATTTGCTGTTGGTAAGCTCAGATGATTTGTCCAGACTCGTGACCGAAGTCCAGCAGAGGGAAACAGTTCCACCGAAGCCTCAAGCCACCAGGAGCAGCGCTGCTTCACTACACGCTACAGAGAAGCTGAAAGAGGGCTAGTTCTAGCTTTTGTTCAATAAGATTTTAAAGAAAAAAGTTAATAAATGTTTTTAAGTATTGATGATTTTTAAGTGTCTCAGTGTTAAATCAATTCAGCGAATAATTAGCTCACCTGAGCCGAAGGCTCAAGTGAGCTTTTCTGATCACATTTTGTCCGTCGTCCGTCTAGCTGTCTGTCCGTCTGTAAACTTTTCACATTTCGACTTCTTCTCAAGAACCACTGGGCCAATTTTGACCAAACTTGGTACAAAGCATCCATGGGTAAAGGGGAATTTAAATTGTTAAAAAAGGGCCAAGTCCTCTCACAAGGGGAGATAATCAAGAAAAGACAAAAATAGGGTGGGGTCATTAAAAAATCTTCTTCTCAAGAACCACTGGGTCAGAAAAGCTGAAACTTACGTGGAAGCATCCTAGGGTAGTGTTGATTCTAAAGTGTTCAAATCATGACCCCTGGGGGAAGGGTGGGGCCACAATGGGGATCAAAGGTTTACATAGAAATATATAGGAAAAATCTTTGAAAGTCTTCTTCTCAAGAACCACTGGGCCAGAAAAGCTGAAACATATGTGGAAGCATTCTGGGGTAGTGTAGATTCTAAATTGTTCAAATCATGACCCCCGGGGGAAGGGCAGGGCCACAATGGGGAATCAAAGTTTTACATAGAAATATATAGGAAAAATCTTTGAAAATCTTCTTCTCAAGAACCACTGGGCCAGAAAAGTTGAAACTTATGTGCACATGGAAGGATCCTTGGGAAGTGTAGATTTCAAAATGTCTAAATTATGATCAGTGGGGTAGGGTGGGGTTGCATTATGTATTATAAGGGGGAAATCTGGTAAAAAACAGAATGGTCAAAGCTTCCCAGGTGAGCGATGTGGCCCATGGGCCTCTTGTTTGTTATGCGTCAGTCATGCATAATTATGACTCAACATGATTTCATATTTTTGCCCCCTTTTTGACATGAATTTTGTAATACAATTTACATTAAAAGTTAAGAATTGCATTTCAGTAAAAATACTTTTTCACATATCCATACTGTCTATTACACACACCCCCCCAATAACACTTCCTTTAAAATAAATTTTACATTCGTTAGAGTTAAAACAGTGTAGACAGCAGATACAGAATGACATGGCAGAAATATCGTATCTAAGGACGCGGTGCGAAACTGCAGTGGCGGAGTGTCAGCAGGAAAAACAGGTGACAAAAGGGGCGGATCCAATCTTCAATTTTTTTCTTCACTTTTTTGGTTATTTTTCTGTTAAAGGATTTGGACAAATCTTTAACAATTTTATTTTCATAATAACAGTTTCTATGTTACGATGAAATTGTCTGGCTTTTTTTTTCGAATTCATCAATCACCATAGATTTTATTTACTTTTGGTCAGTGGTCACAACATATTCGGTGCCATTCTCATAAGGCTTTATTCTCAAGAGTATGAATGGCAAGCAAAGATGGCAAAGGGACCAAAATTTTCTTTCTACATGTACTTCCTCTATGCTGGACAGATACTGAACTGGAATCGAACCTTTCAACGTTTGTGCACCAGTGAAGATGCGCTTGCGTCAAAAATATCCTTGGTGTACTGGGAGCAATTGTCTTAATTTGGATTTTATTTTCAAAAATAACTTTCTTGAAATTCTTTCATAAAAACCCTTTAATCTAAAAGTACTTTTGTCAAGACTTCTCTGATGATCTTAAAATGTGATCAATATAAACCTGTAATTGTAGGAGAACATCCGGTTACGTCACGATGTAGATTCGCTGACTCAGCAGCTATCTCAGCAGTCGGAGTACTGCTCCAGTCTTGGATCCGCCTGCTGTACTTTGTTGTGGCGTGTGTCCAAAAACGAGAACACCATACAGTCCATACTTGTTGGGGTGATTCATCTCAAGATTTAATAAATGCTACACAAAAATATGTACATCCTGAATTACAATTTATTTCTTAAAAAAAGCACAGTAATGCAGGACATTCTGAAGTATATACCTTTAGTTCATGATCATTTACTCGTTATTTTAAAGCGACAACAAATTCACGAAGATATAAATAACTTAAAAAAATATTTGGTATATATGACGATAAACCAATGTATTTTTTTTAAACAGAGTAAAGTAGAGGAGTTCTTGACACTCATTTCGAACACGCTCAATAGTTACGTCATGACGTACAAATCTGATTGGCCAGACTCCAAGTCCGAGGAGAGTCAGTTTGTACACGCTCTCTGTGGCGTCATCACAAGTAAACATCTTACATCTCTCTTTTTCTTTTTTATTAAAATGATGATTATTTGTGAATATTTATGGATTTAACATTTCAAGATAGTAGTAGTTAATTTTGTTTCGTGAGTTTTGAATAAAATTTATGCTGTTTTAATACTGTGTCACACAGCTTGGGAAAACATACATAATTTAATTTGCAGATATTGCAGCCTGTGCGTTTGGACGTGATTTTTTAATTAACAACCCATGTGGACTTCAAGTGATAGACACCTATATCAACGTACTGGAACAGGCTCCCAACGGGAAAAGTGCACGTCTAAAGAAGTAAGTATGACAGGTTACCTAGCTTTTGAAGTGGCCTTCATCACATGACAGACCGTGCAACAGCCGGGGTAGGGGGGGGGTGGGTAACCTACTTATACTATAGGAAATGTTAGTTGAAATTAGTTGAAAGCCTGGTTGGCCCCCCACTCTTTAGTGATGTACCGAAAATATAGTATTAGAGTATTGGAAATGGTACTGAAAATAGTTGACACTGAGAAAAAGTTTACCTGAACACCCCCCCCCCCTAAACTTTCTTGGTACATGTAGTGCCCCCCCCCCCCACCCCAACTGAAAATTTTGGTTGTGCCTCCAAACTGAGTTTCCTAAGGCCTGTAAGAGAATACGCTTCTTTAATCTTATACGGGATTTTTTTCCCCAAATGTTTGAATTCTGTTTTTTATAGTTATCTAAACAAAAAAATATAAGTTTTATTCATAATAGTAGTACAATTATACCCGGTATCACAAAATGTTTTAATGCCATACAATATCTTTAACCTCTGCATAGCCTGATCATGATGGCGCTGTACAACATAAGCATCAACCAGAAGGGAATAAAATACTTGTCCTCCAAACGAGGCCTCATCAAGTTGCTAGCATGGCTTCTACAAGGTTTAATATCGAAAGAACTCATTTATTTATTTAATTTTTCTTTTAATGTAAATTAAGCATTTTTTTTTTTTTTAAATTTAAAAATTCAATTTCCACATGGGAGAAATAGGTACATATTGATTCCATATAATTTTTTATACAGACGAGACGGCAACAGAAAACCAAGTGAACACTCTCCGACTGATACAGTCACTGATATCTGTGGATTACAGCCTTAACATTATACACGAACTACTGGAAGAGGTGAGAAATTAGATTATTTTACTGATGGAAGACCAAGAATAAGTCTGTTAGAGACTGCTGATATTCTTGTCTTTATCAACTTGTTTGTCAATGATTTACCTCTTTTAAAAAATTGTTAATAAGAAGAGATGCTCTTGTGTATCGAATCAATCGAGAGATATATCAATTCCATATGATGAAAGTATATTGCTGCATAAGTAAGGGAAGTTGACGATAAAGTCATCACGTTTATCATATGAGGGGTGATCAAAAAGTTCGCGAACTATCTCTATATCTACAAAACCACAATTCAGATTAGAATGAAATTCGATACACACTTAGCCATACACAAGGTCTATAAATAGCATATACTAAATAAAGTTTTTCTCCTTGTTTGTGACGTCACAATGTGAAAATGACGTCACTATGTAGGTCACTTGTGACGAAAAATGGTTGTCTCAGTGGAACTCGTTCAACAAACGACTGTCCAATTTAATGTTTATCTTAGAAATCCCTCTGCAGTATCATATAATAATTTGTACACAGTTTATTGAGATAAATGAGTTCCTATAAATTCAATTAATGATTGGATTGATCGTTTTTGTGAAGGAAGGCAAATGGTTTAAAATGATACTTGTCATCTTGCCCAGTGAAAGCAAGTTTGAAAAGATATGTATTTTTAATTATGCAATTTGATATCAAAGACCTCCAATTAACACTTTGAAAAATAGTTGAATATTTGAACAATAATGTAAGTATTAAATTTCTGAGATATCGTTTACTTTTGATTTTAAACATATTAGATATGATAAAAATGAGGCACCCATTCTCTATCCACCTTGAATAAAGGTCTCTCCCGAGACAGAAGATTTGTGTTTTAATGGTCGCCATGCTTATTTTTGGAAAGGATATTCTTATCCACCCATTCTGTTGCCTAGATATGACCATTTCTGACAAATGAACTCTTCTTGTCATAAAAATTAACTCACATGGAAAGAAATTTAAAACTCAGAAAAATCTTTCAACTTTTGTGACAGAACGCTACAAAGGGGGTCACGTGACCGCCAATATCACGTGATTCACGCATGCGCAGAACGGTGGTTGATGTGCATTAAAATCGGGGAGGATTAATTTAAAATTTAGTCTTTGTCAAATAATGACCTTGCGTAGAGAGTAGTGATCCAAACTCCTCTTTGATAAATAACAGAACATCTTTTCTACATTTAAACTTTACATTTTAATTAACAAAATATTGTACAATAAAATAAACTGCTTTGGTGTGTGGTCGTCCGTATCCCTCGAATGCCGGTAGTCTACGGTTCCAAACGGTGTTTGGATTACACAACTGTCTCTTGCCGCTAAGGAGGCTCAGACACCCCTCTCCAGTGCGAAGAGATTACACTTCCCCTCTCCAGTGCCGAGGAGGTTACACGTCCGTCTTGCGTTCAAGACTATGAGATGTGACTGGTATGGGCCGCCATCTCTACACAACTTTACAGGAATGATCTATGAGACCTATTAAATATCATACACAGAATAATATAGACATATAATTTACGCTGTGAAACGTTACAGTGCAATATGTACAATGCAATAATTGCTGTACTTCACAACAGTTATTGTAGAACATCGAACCGACAAATAAAGACACAAACAATCCACCGTACAATTAAGACTCAAACAGTTTTCGAATACAATGTAACTATAAATAACAGAACTTAAAAATATGAAATGGAATAGCTTAAAGTTGCATATGTTAGAAATTCCGTGTCTGGGTGTTTTAAGATATTTACAACTTTATAAAATAATAAAAACAAACGCAAATAAGGCTTACCTCAGAGAAGCAGGACCATACCATAAATTCTAATAAAGGTTGGGTTGAAATACCCTCAGTAGTCTGCCATGTGTATAATACAATTCAAATATGTAAATCTTGAGAAGTTTTGAAAACGTCCTTCTACCTGGACTGCCGTGTCCAAACTGAAGCACGGGCTTACCAATATTTTAAAGGTCCAGTGATTTGAGGTATAAAACGGGGTTAAATAAACCCAGTGAAAAATGGAGGCTCCCCAAAGGTGAATACAAATTACTTGCGTGTTCGATTAGAAGATTTTAATGTGACAATCTTAAAACCAAATATTGTTTCCTTTATGGAAGTTATTCAATTAGTTCGCGAACTTTTTGATCACCCCTCGTAGAGCTTGGTTGCTTGATTACCATTAACGTCTTCTTCAAGTAAAATATCCAAATGGGAAACAGATGTGACAGACTATATATATATATATATATCTCTGCAAGTCAAGTTGAAGGCCACAGCAAGTGTTTTCTTCTTTTCACGCATACGATTTTGCATAAATTCTGCTTCATATGAATACAAAAATAGCTCTGCTGATAACGGAGCGCAATTGGTACTCATGGGAATTCCCAATAGATTGTTGGAATACCTGGTCTCCAAAAACCACATAGATAATGTCAATGAGGAACTTTTTGATGTCAGCTTCAGAGCACTCAGTTGTGTGCGCAATCAGAATGTGTTTTAACAAAATAATTTTGCAAATGATCAATGACCAGGAAAGTCAATTCCATTTTTATTGAAGAAAACAGCTGTCAATGATTTCAAGAAGCCTGTACTTTAATTTATCGTGGGGAATGGTTGTGTATTAAGCTGAAATGTCGGAAGTTTTTAAGCTGATGATTTTGGTGAAATCTTGTGATTTCAAATTGTCCAAAAGTTCTTTGGAATTTTTGAATATCCACATCTGATTCACACCATTTCTTGAATATATTGTTGCACAGTACCTTTGAAGTTTTTCCTTCACTACTGTTGATATCTTAGTGAGGAGTAAAGAAAGAGGCTTGGTTGAAGATTTACTGGAACCTGCAATGTATCTTTGTTTGTAAGGATCCTTATGAAGTTTTGGAATCCAGTATATAAATGGTAGTGCAGATTCATTTCGGTTCTTTGGAATTATAAAAATATTCAAAACTGACATATGATTATGTAGAATTTCTTCCATGGAAAGGGAACTATGAGTATAGGTTGGATTACCACTGGTAGAATTTAATCCAAGTTCTTCTTAAATATAATTTATATAATGAGCCTTACAAACGAAGACAATGTTGTTACATGAATCTGCTTTGTCAGCAGGGACCAGTACGTACTGATCATGTAATCTAATTCTTTTTTCACTTCTGGATTATCGAATACAGAAGGATATATGATTTTCAAATTGCCCCTCATCTTTTAATTAGCGATTTTAACATGGATCTAATACATTATAGAGGTATCCCCTAAACAAGTAACATACATTGTATAGGTTTCTTGGGCAGTAGCTGTTCCATAAATGATCGAACATCATACCGTTACCGAGGATATTTTTCCCCAAAAGCTACAATATGACAATATTATTTCCCCTTGCTAACAACCATGAAAAGTGTTTAAATATATGACCATAACTACAGATAGGAACAGAATATAAACTACAAATTTGTTTGTCATGTATAGTAACATGTTTTGCACTTAAATTAAGAATAGGGGGATACACTTGCTGCAAGTTTAATTCATTTCTTTAAAATAATGCTAGTCAGGGTATGGAAAAGTGGAAGAAATATGCCTGTAAATGAAGTACTTGTACTCTAGGAAGTATCTTTGTTTTTTAGCTTCCGAAACCTGTCCTACAGGAGCTTGGAGTGGACAAAAACAAAGAGATCCGAGAATTGGTGAAAGATATCACCGACGACATTCAGCACCAAGTGAGGCACGAACAGTAGCGAAGCACCGACACGAAACTTTATTTGTTATATACATAGTTTAATGATTTAATGAAACACTTCGATATAATGTAATTCATAATCTGAATTTGTAGTTTATATATATAACTTAAAGATGAGCTTTTTTTGTGTGTTAAACATGTTATAATTGATTTGATTGACGTTCAATACAAATGTTCTGTACTTGCTTTCTTCTATTTCACTTTTATGTTCGTCCACGTCACACTTCACGTTTTTTAAATTGATATTTAATTATTTATCTATATTACATTCAATTTCTTAACTTCATAGATTATTAACTCTGCATTCTTTTTGTTTGTGCTGGACTTTTTAGCCCACCTGAGCTGCAAATTAGCTGAGAGATATAAACCTCGTGTGCAGGTGATTTTTTGGCTGCATAAGTAAGGAATGCTTACAACTAATAAGTTTGTCATCACGTTTATCATAGAGCTTGGTTGTTAGATTACCATTAACGTCTTTTTCAAGCAAAATATCCAAATATGAAAGAGATGTGTCAGACTCTGTGGTATCTTTTATCTCAGTCTCACCAGGATATATCTTTTCGACATAATTAATTGACGTCGTTGATATGTCTAAATGTCGAGTTGATGGAAACGGCAGTGTTTTCTTTTCACTTGTTTTCTCTAAAATTGTAAGAATTTGGACAAATTCTGCTTCATATGAATACAGAAATAACTCTTCTTATAACAGGACGCATTGGTACCCAATGGAATTCCAATAGATTTTTGAAAGACCTGGTCTTCAAAAACCACATAAATATTGTCAATCAGTACTGAAGCATCTCTTTAATATCAAATTCAGAGAAATTGCATGTAAACGTACGTACAATCATAATATTATTTTTAAACAAATAATTGCAAATGACCAAGGTAAGTATATTTATTTACCAGTTTCATTTTTATTTTTATATCAGAAAGCCTACACTTTAATATATCGTGGGGAATTGTTGTAAATAAAGTAATGTTTATGCTGTTGATTGTGGTAAAATTTTATGATTTCAAATTGTCCAAAATTTCTTTGGAATTTTTAAGTATTCACATCTGATTTACACCACTTCTTAAATATATTGTTGAACAGTACTCTTGGAATTTCTCCTTAACTGTTTATATTTTTGTGAGGAGTAGGAGGTTTGGTAGAACATTTACTGGAACCCACCATGTATCTTTGTTGTTTACGAATCCTTATGAAGTTTCGGTATCCAATATAGATATGGAAATTCAAATTCATATTGCTTTTTTGAAAATATTCGAAACTGACTGATTTTTAAGAATTCTCTTCATTAAGGGCGCTATGAGTAAAGGTTGGATTACCACTTGTAGAATTAAATCTAAGTAATAAAATAAATAATAATAATAATAATAATAATAATGATAATACTTTATTTAAAGAAGGTAACCTGATTAGTGCAAGCACTATTCTTACCCAGGGCCTTCTGACAATAAACAATATAAAAATACATAGTTATACACATACAGACATATTATAAATATATACATAAATATACAAAAACAAAAAAAAACATGAATAACAAATTATTTCGACATTGTTTCACATAATGTTTTACTTGTCTCTTGAAAGTATTAAGAGTTGGTGACATTTTTATGTGCACCGGTAAAGCATTCCATAAAATGGCACCAGAGAACTGGAAGGAATTTTCAAAAAGTTTGCATTTATGAATTGGCACACACAAATCAACATTGGATTCAGATCGAAGAGTATATTGGTTATTAATTTGAAATTTAAACATTTCATGTAAATAAGTAGGACAATAATTAAAGAGGGATTTATATAACAATACATATTTATTTACAGTAAGCTGTTCATAAACAGTAAGCCAATCAAGTTCATCAAAAAGGGGTCGTGAGGGTGCATCAGGGGGGGCATCTAAAATATACCTTGCAGCACGTTTTTGAAGTTTATGAACCCTGTCAAGATTTGATCTGGATGTATTTCCCCAAATTGTTAGGCAGTAATAAATGGTAGGCATGATGTATGCATTATAAAACAACTTGCGTGTTTGAAGAGGAAGATACTTTTTAATTCTACGGAGTGCAGGAATTTTACGTGACAGAGTTTTACACACATGGTCGATATGTACATTGTACTGTAAAGAATTATCTAGATATACCCCAAGAATTTTTTCATATGTTACATTGTCTAATTTCTGGTTCGAAACATATAAAGGAAAATCATGATCTAAGAATTTTGATCTCTTCTGATGTGTCCCTATTAACATGCATTTAGTTTTTGAGGCATTAAGTATCATTTGATTTTGAGTGCACCATTTTTCTATACAAGCAATATCCATTGATAATGAATTTACAACAGATTGTGAATCTTTGCCGGGGACATGTAAAGTGGCATCATCGGCAAACAAATCTATGTTTGAATTTTTGATATAAAGTGGAAGATCATTAATGTACAGTAAAAACAGAAGAGGTCCTAGTATAGACCCCTGTGGAACTCCCGCTGTGACTTGCTGATAAGATGATTTTTTGTTAGACAGATGGACACTTTGAAATCTGTCACTTAAATATGATCGAAACCAATGTAAAGTTATTTCATTAAAATTATAGCACTGTAGCTTTTTAAGAAGAATTTCATGATTTACTAGGTCAAATGCCTTACTGAAGTCGAGAAAGACAGTACCAACAAGTTTGCCTTGGTCCATTTCATATAACCATTTATCTGTAATTTTTGTAAGGGCTGTTTGACATGAGTGCAATTCTCTGAAACCTGATTGAGATTCTATTAAAAGATTCTATTAAAATCTGTCACTTAAATATGATCGAAACCAATGTAAAGTTATTTCATTAAAATTATAGCACTGTAGCTTTTTAAGAAGAATTTCATGATTTACTAGGTCAAATGCCTTACTGAAGTCGAGAAAGACAGTACCAACAAGTTTGCCTTGGTCCATTTCATATAACCATTTATCTGTAATTTTTGTAAGGGCTGTTTGACATGAGTGCAATTCTCTGAAACCTGATTGAGATTCTATTAAAAGATCAAAGTCTGATAATAGCAATCGTACATATTTTGCCACATGTTTTTCTATAATTTTTGATAATGTCGGTAAAATAGAAATGGGTCTGTAGTTATTTGGATCTAGCTTGTTTCCCTTTTTATAAATAGGTGTAACTTTGGCAAGTTTAAATCTTTTCGGGAAAATACCTGATGTAATATACTAGCATTTATTATTTGGGTTACAGGTTTATGTATTATTTGTGCAGTAAGTTTTAATAAACGTGGACCGATGGTATCTACACCTGATGATTTATTAACGTCTAGCTTGTTTAGTAAGGAAAGCACTTCATCAGGACTAATAAGCGGGATACAAAACATTTCTGTTCCCAATTTAGACTGTACAAAATTTGAAAGGCCATCGAAATCACACTCTTCTTTATTTACTCCTTCAAGGAGTTTAGCAGAGACATTTGAGAAATGAGAATTAAATATCTCTGCAATTTCTTGTGTATCCTCTGTTACATTATTACATAGGCAATTTAGCCACATATGCATTGCCTTTCATATGAGAATCATATGTGGATCATATGAGAATCATATGTATATACAATCATATGAGAATCATATGTGGCAAATCATATGAGAATCATATGATTACACATATGTAAATCATATGAAGTAATATACATATGATTCTCATATGAAAGATCCTGCATATCCTGCATATGAGAATCATATGAATATTCTGACAATAATCATATGAGAATCATATGAAACTGATCATATGAGAATCATATGAAACAATGTTCACTAATTTGTCCTTGTTATACTCAGGTAAAATTCATACAAATGTTTTGACTGTGATCATATGAGAATCATATGAAACGGTGATCATATGAGAATCATATGAAACGGTGATCATATGAGAATCATATGAAACAGTGTTCACTTATCTGTCCTTGTTATACTGAAGTAAAATTGCAATTTCAATAATATATATCAAAAGATAAATTTAAATCTACATTAATTCAAAAGAAATTTGTTAGTAATTAATTATATGTAAAGTTCTACTCTGTTTACCCTACCCCCCACCCCTACCCCCCTTTCCTTCTAAAAAAAAAACCTTTCACATTTTTTTTTCTATTATAATGTATTTCCCAGACAAAATAGATAAAGAATAAATTAATTTGCTTTTCATTTTAAATCTTTTGGGTTTGGCTAAGTAAAATTAAAATAATTCCGTATTTTTCTCCGGGCCGGTTTTGTCTTTTATCGGATGAAAATATACGTCATTTTTGACGTCACTGCTGCAGCAGACGTGTTGGGTGTTTGGAAAAGGCAAGTGATCTCCTAACAATATTATTTTAAAAACTTTTGATTCATATTGTTTAAATATAATTTCATTATGGTTATAGGTGCGTATGAACTTATCACTTGCATCATGCATGTAATTGTTAAATCAATGCATTTCGTAAACCTAACGTTCGTGATCTGTAAGTAAGTTTGAATAAAATTTGTTTCTGAATGAATGTAAACATTACATGTTAGGCTAAAGGCATTACTACTACGTACTGATATGAAAGTGAAAGTAGAAACCTTTTTTAAGCGCTAAGCGCAGCGCAAAGCGCTTTCTGTCAGCGTAAATCTACTTCCGTTCGCGATCCAGCGCCACTAAGCAAGTTAGATAACTCCTCTGGTTTTTCTAAAAATATGCAACTGGAAATCCCCGACTCTCTTCCGGCTATCTAGTTCTGAGTTACGTGCAGTTCTAATAATAGTAGTTAATTAGTAGGTAAACATATGCATGTATATGTATGAAACCCGACCGTTAGTAGATAAGGGCAGTTCTTGTCATGCTTATCTCTACATTGTAGTTCATTTTAAATCGTGTCGGATCTCATCACATGTGTACCATGTAGCTAACAATTGCTGATCTATGGCGCAAAAACGATGTAATATATGTCATGTACATTTAATGTAGTGATCAAATAAGTACATATTTTTTAAACTGAGATGATATTTTGATAAGTATTTAAAACTCGAACTGGAATTGAGTTATTTAGTAGAAAATTTCGCATAAAATTGATTTAAATTGTGCTTACATCTGTACATTCTATGTAACATATATCCATATAAACTATTATTTCTTCTTCTACGCGTAAAAGCTAATTTCAAGCAATGTAACTATAAAAGCAAGTCTTCCTACGATCACCCTTACACCATGCAGAGAGCTATCAAATAATGAATGAATGTGATTCTCGCATCTCAGTATCAAACTTACTAACAGACTGGAATGCATTCAAGGGCTGTCTACACTTTGTTTTGTACTCTATACTTGTAATATGGGTAAACACTATGATGTAAATAATTCGCAGTGAAAGGCAGTTTTCGGCTGTAGGTACATGTAGGACACGTGGTGGCTGTGTTTTCAAAGAATCCCCTCAAATATGAAAACTAATTTCTCAGAATAATGTGCTTCAATTAAAATTGTGTTCGCAGTGCGCAAGATACGGAGAAAAATGAGGAAAAAGAAACCTTTAATTAAACTTTCTTAGCAATGGACAGGAATAGCGCCGATGAAATTGTAAGCAAATAGTGTACCCGGTGATACTTGTAATTAATAGGAAACTAGGATTTAATAGTCTATGTAAAAATGTGGGTGTGTTGCCGATTTGACTGCTAAGCAACTTAATGAGGAATGCATAAAAACAGAATAAAACAATGTTGTATACTTTCATGAGGATTTATTAATACTTGGGATTAATATACCGTATTTTTTTCCCGGGCTATTGTCATGGATATAGTAGAAAATGACCGGCAATTATTTTCAGTATTCCTTTTCAATTTACAAAACAGCGTTATGGATGTTTTTCTCCCTCTAAAGACGTTTTTGTGTCGTAGTTAAAAGTATATACATGTAATTGTGTAAAGCATCAAACGTCCTTAAAAAAAAACTCAAGCATTGTAAAGTAATTCAATAATAGTCCAAGAATACAGTGTACTTTAAGGGGTTTAATAATGATTTTTAATCCAAACAAGAAAATCACGAAATTTTTAATTTTAAAAAATACATTTATAAATCAGATACGCATATAATGTGAGATCAACAGAAAAGACAATTTTTGTTGCAAATACATTATAAATCATGTATATAAAAATCAGAGATAAAAGGATAGAACCGAATGTTTTATCATCAAACGAAAAAGACAAATATAATATCTTTATGCTAAAAAAAGGACATTAACTAGATACGCATGCTCATTTTATTGACATAGAGTTTTTTTTTGTCACATTACGTTGTTACAAACATGATGCCGATTATAAGTATGCTGCAAAGGGCGATGAATATGAAAGTGTTAAAATGTATAATTCACAGCTGTAGCATGAAGGATATGGAGATAACGAGCAGTATTCAGTAACAAAGTTCATAAAACAATACAAAATAGAAGCACAGCAAACACGGACCTCTAAAACATTAGAGGTAGGATCAAAATAAAATGTTATGTATATCCATCCCCCTTCCAATAAATTTCGATTTATACGCAAATTTACCTCTTATAGACTCCTATTATGCGACGGAGAAACAAAATATGTTTTTTTAATAGTTTTGAGAAATTCAGTGCTGTTTGGACTAAATATGTCATCTATTTTGTATATTTTTTTAAGAAATGGTGAAAACTTTTCTTGCAATTTCATGTATGTAAAATTGATTGATCTTTTGACAGAAGAAAATGTCAAATACTTGAAATAAAAAAGCATAAGACAATGTTAAATTTCATACCCCAACGGGAAGACTCACATGTTTGATTATGTATCAAACAACTGTTCTCGCCTTAGTGCAGCTGCACTCTCAAGATATTGCTTAAATTCCAATACAACAGGCCATTTAAATTAAATAAAATCTTATGAATTTCAGATTTCAATATGCTTAGCGCTTCCCAGTACTTTCAGTACTTTGATTGTCAGTTGGTGTTATGTATGTTGAGATCGTTATCAAGTCCGGATTCCTTCTTCAACTTAATGACAAATGTTTGTTTTTATGGCCTATAGATGCATTCGGCAACTTGAATTCAGTGTCACAGTGCTGTTTTTTTTTCAGTTCAAAGAGCCCGAAGCTGATAAGACTGGCGATTGATCCTGAAGCTGATTTGACAGACGATTGCATCATCACAATATTGAAGGTAAAAATAAATACTTGCAATAACAGATCAAAGTATCTGTAATGTCTCTTTATGACAAAATATTTCTTTATTATTTTTTTTTGTTCTTTCATAATTCTACATTGTTTGCATGGCTTTATCAAAAATAAATTCAACTCAACTCAATACTCTAGAAATTTTATTCTACATTATAATTTTAACCCAGTGCACTTAAAATATGCAAAGTATGAATAGAATTTGCTGGCTGTAAAGGCTATGAAACTATATAGTATACAATAACTTTTTGGGGAGAGGGGGGATAAATTGGATTTTTGAATTTCAACTAAAAATTTATAACAGTGACATCCAACTTTAAAAGTATAAATACATGTGTATGTGTGTTGAAAGAACATCAGCTAGCTAATCCATTGAATATTTACATCTATGTATTCATTGACTGACAATTATTTTTTCCCCCCCAACACTAGTGAATGGTGCGCGTGCCTATAGTTTCGGGTTAAATGTTAGATATATATAAAACTATAGAAAACCTACAAACTTGTACTCTCTCTTTTTAATAGTTTAAGTTTTAATTGAATGTATTCTTGGAAAATATCTACTGTGTTTGACTGTGAGTATTTGTCTTACAGGTTCAATATACAGTCAGCCTCTCATAAGATAAAGAACAAATCCCAAGATCCAAGGCTTGCTTCAAAGTTAAGGTAACTACACACTGTTAAATAATATACATTTATCCACTGGTTGTGAGTGGGATAGCTTTTTAGCTCACCTGAGCCGAAGGCTCAAGTGAGCTTTTCTGATCAAAATTTGTCCGTCGTCTGTCGTTGTCGGCGTAAACTTTTCACATTTTCATCTTCTTCTCAAGAACCACTGGGCCAATTTCAACCAAACTTGGCACAAAGTATCCTTGGGTAAAGGGGATTCAAGTTTGTTCAAATGAAGGGCCACACCCTTTTCCAAGGGGAGATAATCATGAATTTGTTAAAAATTAATGGCATTTTTAAAAAATCTTCTTCTCCAGAACCGCTGAGCCAGGAAAGATGAAACGCATGTGGAAGCATCCTCAGGTAGTGTAGATTCAAGTTTGTTCAAATCATGACCCCCGGGGCAAGGGTGGGGCCAAAATGGCCGACCAAAGTTTATCATCCTCAGGTAGTGTAGATTCTAGTTTGTTCAAATGATGAACGCCTGGAGGGGGGGGGGGGGGGGGGAGGAGTGAATTCAAGCCCGATGTGCTCAGGTGAGCGCTGTGGCCCCTGGGCCTCTTGTTTATCAAACCCGCAACAGAGAACTATTCCCCGAGGGCTTGCCCGAGGGGAATAGTTCCTGTCAAGGGTTTGATAAAAGAGCTATCCAACTCACAACCAGTGGATAAGCATTTTATTATACTGATGTGTCACAGGGTGACAATTACTTGTCTTTATTTTATTTAGTATAATTATTTAGTACAGCTGGTATAGTAAGTCAGTATAGTAGATAGCTGTAGTAAATTCCTTCATTCATTCATTCATACCTGGTCATTCATTGTCATCGTGTTTGTATTGTATTCTGGTTTGTCCGGTGTTCCGTGTCACGTGAGTGTTTGGTTGTCACGTGATTGTCTTGTGGTTTATTTTTATCCTAGGTGTGAGTTGTAAAACCAGTATGTATGGGGTGTGGTAGTTATGTACGCATGTGTGAGTCCTGGTATATATACTTATGCACGGACTATTCCTTTTTAAGCGCTAAGCGCAGCGCACAGCGCTTTCTGTCAGCGTAAATCTACTTCCGTTCTGGATCCAGCGCCACTATAAGCAAGTTAGATAACTCCACTTGTTATTCTAAAAATATGCAACTGGAAATCCCTGACTCTCTTTCTGCTATTCTAGTGTAATGCTGCGTTACGTGCATTTCTAATAATAGAAGGTAATTAGTAAGGTTTAAGGATGTTCCACAGTTAGAAGATAAGAGCAGTTCTTATCATGCTCTTCTGTATACATTGTAGTTCATTTAAATCATGTCGGCACACATTAATTTGGTACCTCGTAGCTTACAATTGCTGCCTCTTTGGCGCAATTACTTAATTTTAGAACCTGTATATTATTTATTATGTACATTGAATATTCATACGTACCCGGTACATGATTTAAAACTCAGATAGGATTTTGATAAAGTTTTAAATCTCAAACTGGAAGTGAGTTGTTCAATAAAAGAAATCACATAAAATTGATTTACAATGTACTACTTACATAATATGGTACGTGCTATATATCCATATAAACTATAATTATTTTGTTTTCTTCTAAACAATTATTTCAGGCAATGTAACTAAAACAAGCCTTTCTATTAACATCTTGCACCATGCTGAGATTTATCAGTGAAGTTTATTTTCGCATCTAAGTGTCAATTAGTAACAGACTGGAATGCATTCAAGGACGGTCTTTTTTAATGTCTATACTTGTGTTGTACATAATTCGAAAGGAAGGACAGTTTGTGGCTGTACAGACATGTAGAGCATGTAGTGGATGTGTTTTCAACGAATCCACTCAAATAGTAAAACTTATTTCTCGGAATACATGTATTGTGCTCTAAAATTGTGCGTGTAGTGTGCAGGATATGGCGAAACATGCTAAAACGTTAATTAACGTTCTTCGCTATGGACAGAAATAGGGCTGATGAAATGTTAAGCAAACGGTGTAATACTTGAAGTAGGGAACTAGGATTAAATAGTTTATGTAAAGATGTGTCTCAGCTGTGTTGCCGATTCTCAATGAAGACTAAATAAAAACAGAATAAAATAATGTTGTATACCTTCATGAAGATTTATTAATACTTGAGATTAATACTGTATTTTCTTTCTTGGACTCTTGAATTATTAATCATAGAAATAGCAGAAATATTATGAGCAATTATTTTCAGTATTCCTTTTTTGTTTTAACTAGCACAAAAATGTCGTAGATATGTTTTTCCTCTCAACATGTTTTGCATGGTAGTGAAGATCATACATACACAAGTAAAGAATGGTGAAATGCACCAGGCATCCGCAAAAAATACTGAAGCATTTTTAATTATTTCAACAATAGTCAAAAATACTTTTGGTTGGTTAACGTATGACGGGTTTGACGTATTTTTAATCCAAAGAAGAAAAGTGTAAAATTTTTATTGCAAAAACGTATCATTTACTAATGAGTGACACATATTGTATATCAACACAAATTTTACTGCAAATACATGTACACTGTAAATAAAATATTTGAATATCAGAGATTGCATGATAGCATCAAAAGATAAATATAATATCCTTATACTAAAATTTCTATATTATCTCTGACATAAAGTGCGTTAATTCTACGGATGTTAATTTCATTTACATATGACGTTGTTACAAACATGATGCCAATCTTCAATTTGGTAAACTTGTAAACGCAGAATGAATTTGTTATTAAATATGATCACCAGAAGATTTTATCTTTCAGTGTTGCAAGTAAATGAGAGGAATTTTAGCGACATTTTCAAGTGTTAACATTTTTTTTTCAAATACAATGTATACATTTTCCAGCAAAAGTATTGTCTTCTGACAGTATAGCTATATGTACATTTAGAGTTTAAATTTGATAGGGAAACTCGATTACCATCTCGAAAGAAAATAATTTTACACGCAAAAATATTTTCTTGCAATTTCTTGTACAGTACTGTAAGTAAAATAGATTGATCTTTTGACATACGAAGATAATGTATGATGTTTGAAAAAAAAAGCATGAGGCAATGCTGAATTTCCTATCCCAACGGGGTTCACATATTCAGGACTCACATACTTTTTGACAACTGTGCTCGACCTAGCGCTATCGCACTGTCAAAATATCGCTTAGAATTCAATACAACAGGACATTTTAAATTAAAATAATTCTGACGAATTCCAAATCAATATGCTTAGCGCTTCCCAGTACTTTCAGTACTTTGATTAATATTGACGATACATTGACGATAGTTTGGATGTTCTCCTGCGAGAAATCCACGTGAGCAGTTTGTCTAAGATATTCCTTACGGAATCTTAGTGCCTTAATTGATGTGACTGGTAAGAATTAATATTAAGTCTTATTCTTATTTTAAACTGTTCTAATTAAATATATATTAGTGTGTGTGAATTTGTACGAGTGTGTCATTTTCATTGCAGGTCACCTTCATTCGTTTGTTCGTTTATACTTTATTTCATCGTACCTGCAGAAATTGTCATCTAATAAATATATGAACATCCATTGAGGAATATTGTGTTGACATTATTATTCCCTGAGATTGGGAGACCCGTGACAATGGCGCCCAACGCTGGTTTAACTTAGGAACCAGGCTGAATCCTAAGAAGAATGTCTTAGAACTGTTAAAGGTGACCAGGCCATTTCTACAAGATTTTATACGAACTACAAGTAAGCGGTTTTCAGAGAACAAGTGAAGTGCTTTTGTGTTATGAAAATTTGTGAAAATTTATCTTCAGTGTGCATATATGAAACAGAGCTCTATGTGATATCCATTCAATCCTGAGAAATTCAGCGCTGGAAACACTGAACACCTGTGTCGGCAGTTACGAGCTACACAGGGACTACTTTTACACTGAGCGCTTCGAGTAAGCAGTGTGACGTCACAACCATTCATGGATACCTCATGTGGCCGAGACGAGAGAAGTACCAAGGACAGGATTGGTTTCCATTTTTACATCAAGACCTATGGAACTGGTTTGTATGGACTTTCTGACTCTTGAGAAGTCTAAAGGTGGGTATGAGAACATACTAGTCATTACTGACCACTTTACGAGGTATGCGGTGGCTGTTCCGACCAGGAACCAATTAGCAGTCTAGACGAACTCCAAAAACGGCATGAACTCCAAAAAAGAAGTCTTTGGCTCCGTCATGCATTGCGGCAAAATGGCTTCCGATGTAAACAAACGATGGATTGTCGTTCGCTTTCTCCACAAATACGACCGAATAATGGTCGAATTAGTAAACTGTGACTGGATTTTAATTTTTGTTGAATAAATAATTGCACTTATTAAATTATTTAGTGGTTATTGACTTATTTATCGCTCTGTATTCTTGCATAATAGTGATATGGGATATAGGACATCGGATTCAATAAAGTCGGTAAGAATTAATTTCCTAACTTAATTTATTGTCCCCTTGATTTAAATTTTATGCCATTCCTACTATAAAGATGCTTAAATTTTACTTCTTAGACACTTAGATCGTATTTATTTTATGAAAAACCGCACAATTTTCGCGGCGGAGCAGAGATATTAACAGGTTCGTTTTGAGAAGACTTTTTTAACCGTAATTTTAAAAGAATGGTTTTTTAAAAGTTCTTAAACTGATAGATTATAATTCTAAAAATGTTTTCAGGATTATATCTGTTCATATGTGATAACATTAGGTAAATAGCGATGGTGATAATTCAGATGTCATACGGGATTATATGACGAAATAATATTACAAATGCATGGGTATAACATTCAGTCAATGATTAACAGTTACATCATATATATTATATTGTTCAATTTAATATATTTTCCCTTTTATCATATATTTAATTCCCAAACGTTTATTTTTCTTTGTAATTGATCTAACTTGAAACGTGAACTTTTTTCAAAAAAGCAACCGAACAGAGGAAATGTGGAAACTGAATGGATTATCATGTAAGTGTTACCTGATCGACTCTTATTTATGATTAAAACCATCAATTCATTACTTTTTTAATTATTGGTAAGATGTATTTACAATGCAGTTGCTCATTGCTGCTCTTAACATGCTGAAATTCATTCGTACACGAGAGACATGAGAGACAGAGGAAATTCGAACAACTGAAAATTCATCAGCTTCCCTTACTTACAAAAAAACTTCTAAAATCAGTAAAAGTAGTTCTAAAATGACTAACTTATAGGGATGGGTATCGCCAAAAATTTCGTATCGCGATATATCACGATTTTTTCCCACAATATCACGATAATATCATGATATTTTTAAAAGCAGTTTTTACAATGATTTTATAAGAAAAGTCATTATTTTTCTAAAAAATATGCTAGAAAAACAAAATTTTACGTTCTTGAATTTTTTATGTATATAAAATCAATTATGTTTGGACGGTAAGATGTCGTTCTTTTCACTTTTTACAACATTTTTTATACTTTCTGCAATTGTAATTTGAAAGATTGAACAAATAGATGAATAATTTCTGGACTTTATAATATGTACCTAAAAACCGGTATTTAGGTCTCCGTATCACGATACGTATCACGCAACAAAAAATCGCGATATACCGGTATACCGATAAAATCGCACATCCCTACTAACTTAGTCACTGCAATCAAATTATCAACCACAGAGATGTTTTCATAAGATTAAGATTGTTTAATTTGTGTTTTGTATCCTACTTGTACGAGGTCTGGCTGAACCTCGAAGTTGGTCAACTTTGACTTGAAATTAAAAACTTTTTGCACATGAAATCAAAATTCTAACAAATACGTTCTATAAAACCATTTATTATTAATCATTTCTGAGAACTTACATCATTGTAAGGTAATCCAATTTTTTGCAAAAGCACTTTTTATAAGAGCCCACTTTTCACGACTTTTCACTATGTTTTGGTATAACTGAGCATGCGCGGGACTCGTTTTTTGGAGTCTTTTCTGGACTGAAATTCTCACTTCCGTTAACGCCGTTTTTGGAGTTCGTCTAGACTGATTAGCATCTACTACGGCTAAGGTACTTTACGAACATTTCATCTGCCATTACAGTTTCCCTGAGCGTATACATTCGGACCAGGGTAGGAACTTTGAAAGTTCGGTTATCAAGGAACTCTGTAAGATTGCTGGAGTAAAGAAGAGCAGAACAACTCCATACCACCCTATGGGAAATGGGCAAGTTGAAAGGTTCAACCAGACATTGCTGAAGATGTTAGGGACGTTAGACAGTGAACAGAAGCACGATTGGAAAACTTACGTTTTACCTTTAGTCAACGCCTACAATTCAACAAAACATGAGACAACGGGATTCTCGCCGCATTACCTGATGTTTGGGTGGAACCCTAGATTAGCGATCGATGCATATCTTGGATTGGAAGAAACAACACAAAAGACCAGAAGTAGGGAGAATTATGCACAGAAGCTGAAGAAAAGATTAAACTATGCATACAAGATGGCCAGAGGTAACATTGGTAGAAACAATGTAAGGTATAAACAAGGTTATGACAGGCAGGTCCGTTTTGAAAAATTAGAAGTTGGAGATAGGGTTTTGGTAAGAACATTAGTATTTTCTGGTAGATCAAAATTAGCTGATAAGTGGGAGAGAGATCCCTACATAGTAATAGAACAGCCTGTTTCAAACATCCCAGTCTATAGAGTCAAAAATGAGATATCAGGAAAAATTAGAACATTACATAGGAATCTTTTATTACCTTTTATGTGCATTACAAAATCTTCGAATTTAGATCAACATTCAGATTACAGGGTCCCGAACGCAGTACCAGACCAGGAAGTTGCAGAATCAGAGACAGAGTCCGAATCTGAGGATGAGGAAGTTTTGGTAAGGCATAAAAGAGTCAAACCTAAACAGTATATATCTAGTGTTTCAGATAGGTCAAGGTCATCCAAGTCACTATCAAATAGAGAAGCATCGACTAGAGAAAATACAACACTGAACCGCACAGAGCCATCAACTAGGGAGACTTCAACAAGCGAAAGTATAAAGTTAACCCGCATGGAACCATCTATTCCAGCTAATGTAGTAGCAGAGCCCCGCAGGTCTGCCAGAACCAAGAAAGTACCAGATAGGTATGGTTCCTGGGTGTCTCCCATAGAGACACAAGTGTGGTATGTATAAATGGGGAGAACGTCACAGGTAATCAGGATGTGTGTATATGGATTTAATATGTTGTTTTTATGTTATGTTTTTATTTCATCTTGGATAGAACTACTATGATTTAACTTAAGAATTCACTTACAGTGACTTAGTTAATTATGTGTGGAGTGTATTGTAGTTCATAATTTTATGATTAGTCATTAAGTCTTATTATTTGATAGTTACTTAGTTTTGATAAGACTTAAGTTAGTGTAGATAAGTTTAGTAGTAGAGTATTCTCTTTAAGAAATGTCAGGAGACATTTTATTAAAGAGGGGGAGAATGTCACAGGGTGACAATTACTTGTCTTTATTTTATTTAGTATAATTATTTAGTACAGCTGGTATAGTAAGTCAGTATAGTAGATAGCTGTAGTAAATTCCTTCATTCATTCATTCATATCTGGTCATTCATTGTCATCGTGTTTGTATTGTATTCTGGTTTGTCCGGTGTTCCGTGTCACGTGAGTGTTTGGTTGTCACGTGATTGTCTTGTGGTTTATTTTTATCCTAGGTGTGAGTTGTAAAACCAGTATGTATGGGGTGTGGTAGTTATGTACGCATGTGTGAGTCCTGGTATATATACTTATGCACGGACTATTCCTTTTTAATATTGACGATACATTGACGATAGTTTGGATGTTCTCCTGCGAGAAATCCACGTGAGCAGTTTGTCTAAGATATTCCTTACGGAATCTTAGTGCCTTAATTGATGTGACTGGTAAGAATTAATATTAAGTCTTATTCTTATTTTAAACTGTTCTAATTAAATATATATTAGTGTGTGTGAATTTGTACGAGTGTGTCATTTTCATTGCAGGTCACCTTCATTCGTTTGTTCGTTTATACTTTTATTTCATCGTACCTGCAGAAATTGTCATCTAATAAATATATGAACATCCATTGAGGAATATTGTGTTGACATTATTATTCCCTGAGATTGGGAGACCCGTGACAGATGTATAATTCAATTTCTGAGGTTTGAATTTCTTTGGAGTAAGATAATTCTGCAAGAATAATCGGAAATTCTGATGACGTCACAATGCTACTGACGTCATTATGACATCATTAGTTTAAAGATTTATCGCTGGAAATCAAAATTGGCGGCAACAATTGCATGAAAATTTTCCGAGGGTGGATAGCAAAAACTATACCCCAGGGTATAGTTTTGCTATGCGTAGACTATAAAGGATAGTTATTTTACCCTCAGAACTTTATATAGGAAACATTTTAACAGAAGTATAATAAACTTTGTTATAGTCTTCCCAAAAGTTTGGGATATCTTGGAATCACAATGTCTGTTTTTCTGCCTGTCTACTTGTCTGTAGTATTTTTTGTCCAAAAATAATATACATGTATTTGTATCAGAATCTTCTTAATTTTTTGACAATCTGAATAAATATATACTGTTTGAACATTCCAAATTTAATTGTCAAAATAACAAAAAATTGCTTTTTATGATTTTATTATGAAGCATATCTTTCAAAAGTGTAATTGTTTTGCAAATTACATCATAGGATTCCTCAAAACACCTAGTATAACATATATAACGTTAGTTTTATCTTGTATCATATCTGTGTCAGTGAATTGGGCATACATTTGTTTGCTGATTATACCTAAGTAACTTTTATAACTCATAGAATTTAAGAATTATTTTATTTTTACTTTTGAAATTTTTGTAGAGACCATTCTGTGCCACAAAGAAATTGTTCAGGAAGAGGAGAAGTGGTGGATATTCATTTTTGGTACGGTACAGTTCAAACAGATTTTCAAAATGGTCATGGAAGATCAAAGGGAGGACAACTGAAAAAACTGAAAGATACAGAAGGAAAAAGAACAAGGAAATATATGGAATAATCATGAAATGGGGAGGATGTACACAATCTTGTCTGAATTTGAGCTGTGAAAATTTCCCATATTCTTATTGTATGCTGGAATAATCAATAACTTGATTTTTCATAAATTTTCAATAGAGAATACATGACAAATGTAATTGCTGATTATTTCAATTTTGCTTTGAACACCTTAATGTCATATGGTATTTTTATACATGAACTAATTATGTTATTCATTTGTACATGTACAGTATACATGTTTAACTACTAAATCATTTTGCTGAAATCTTATAATTGTTAGAATATGTTAAATACATGTATCGACAAATGCTACTGACTTGTTTGTATATTTTCTTGTTTAGAATGTACACTGTGAAAAATAAGTTATTTCTCTTGATGAAAATAATTTTATCAAAAAAGTTGTGTAAGCATTTTAAGATATTTTAAAATATTTAACCAATGAAGATAGATCATTGTAATGTAATGAATTTTCATCTAAAGCAGAAATATCTGATTTTTAAATGTGTACAAGAATGTGAAAAATATTGAAAAAAGAACACACAAGTGTTTCATATGATTTACATATGATGTCCTTTTCATATGATTCTCATATGTAAATGGCTTGAAACACACTTAAATCATTCATATGAAAATCATATGTAGTTATTTTCATATGATTCACATATGTGGATCATATGTAAATCATATGATTTGCTTCATATGATTCACATATGATGCCCCTTTTCTATGATTCTCATATGAAACCAATCATATGAGAATCATATGATACACATATGAGAATCATATGTGGCTAAGTTGCCTGTGTATTTTGTTCAAGTGCCGTCGGACTATAATTTTTTGGGGTAGATGCTAATTTGTTTAATGCATCCCACATCTGGCGTGGATTTTTGTTTTGCTCTACAGTTGATTTATAATAATTAATTTTTGCATTTTCAATTAGTGAGGTTACCTTATTTCGCCATAATCTGTAGTTTTCAAAGTCCTTAATTTTATGAAAATTATTGCGCTTGTGCTGTGCTTCAAGAATTTCTTGGGTTAACCATTTTGGTCTTGCATCATACTTCACTCTTTTAGATTTTATTTTTGCATGTTTGTCTAGTATAGCATTAAAAAGGGAATAAAATTTATTTAATGCATCATTAGGATTAGAGAGTGAATCTAAGGATTGGAAATTAACTTTTTCCAAATCTGAGAGAAAGTTTATTTCATTAAACTTTTCGAAGTCTCTATATGTTATCTCTGTGTGCTTATACTTCTTTACATGATCATGTAATTTTCTTGTAAAGCAAATAGGATAGTGGTCAGAGATTGCAATTGGCGGTACTACAGATTCACATATGTTCTCAGGTAGGTTAGTATATACATGATCAATTAGGGTTGAGGAGACATTTGTTATTCTCGTGGGTACATTAATTATATATATCTGTGAAGTCATATTCTTCAAAAGCAGAGGTCCAGTATCTTGGGGGGTCTTTCATCAGGTCAATATTAAAATCACCTGTTAAAATAATTTCAGCATCGTCACAGCAGGATGCACAATTTATCTCCCTTGTTAGACTTTCTACCCAGCAGGTGGTGGCAGATGGGGGCCTATATGCGGTACAATAAAAAATTGGTTTTGAATTTGGGATGTTAATTTCAAGCCATATTGTTTCTATGCCACCTATTTCAAAATCATCTCGACGTTTGAAATGCAAATTATTTGACATATATACAATTATTCCTCCTCCTGATTTCCCTAATCTATCTCTTCTCTCAAAAGTATATCCATCGATATCTAATTCACAATTGTCTGTCTGTTCATTTAAAAAAGTTTCACAGACACCAAATACATCAATAGAATGATAGCCTGATAAAAGAAGCTTAAGTTGGTCAATTTTAGGCGAGATGTGACATATATTTAGATTCCCAAATCGAAGACCTTTTTTGATGAGCCAAAATTAAATGAATATGAATTTGAATTTTTCTTCTGTGGTTTCTCATTGATTTCAGGATTTAGTAAATTAGAATTTCTCTTTGATGAACTGGTAGTTTGGGATGTACATTTATGAATTTTCGTAGGAGATACATTTTTTATAGAACAAATTACATCATTTTCATTATTAGAACGTGTATAGGACTTAAAATCTTTAACTTGACTTGATCTAAGTAATATATTAGTATTGTGTGAATTACAGAGATATGAGCATTTGCATGATATTTCACCACATTTACCACAAAGATTATCTAAAACACTAAACGGATTTGATATCAAGAGGAATGGTTTTTCGGCAATTTCCTCTTTGCCGAATTCCTAATAGGAACAGTGTTTTGCCTTATGTCCCGAAGAGTTGCAGTTCCAGCAAACAATTTTACATCCATGCCTACAATTCCGTGAGGAATGACCATTTTCACCACAATAATAACACATATTCACATTTCCAGTTGCATTTTGTGTATCATTCTGATGGCGGGCTTTGATGACTGGAATGTGCGCATTATAGGATTTCAGTAGTGTAGATGTTCCCTTGTCGGATAAATGAATCCCATCCTTCCAAAACATACCTGATGACTTGAACTTATCTTGTAGAGAAATCATGTTGACACTGTATTCCTCACAGACAAATCTTATTATTTCATTCATGTGGGTAACATCAGCATCTCGTCGTGGTGGTATTTCCGATATGAATATTTCGGTATTTGGGGACTTTCGGTATTTGGGGACGACCCTGTCGTTGGCAGCATCATTACCCCCGGCAAGTAGGATTATTGACCGAAAGGACGATAGGTCGGTTTCCTGGAGAATTCTCCTGATGTCTGACAGCCGAGCCCCTCTGTTTGTTCGGACAGCAACACGCCTCAATAATCCACGGGTTCTTATTCGCTGGAGGATAGAATCACCAATTATCAATACTGACTTTCAAGATGGAACGTCTGACTCCAGTTGTTGGTTCTTGCTGGGTTTATTGTAATTTTTTTGGCTTTTCTGATCAGTTTCTGGGGATGTTGAAGAATCTGTTGTCTCCACTCTAGAACACTGTGTGTGTCTGGTTACACCTTGTAATTTGGAATCCTTTAGGTCCCTTGTGTCAATCGCTTTAGCTTTTGTGACCGGTTCCCTTGTTTGTGTAGTTGCGTTCACAGAATTTGTATTTTTAACTTGTAGAGATTGCAGCTCCAGCTTAAGTCTAGCAACTTCTTCGGTGAGATCAGACACAGTCTTTGTTAGTTTTTGAATAACATCAAAACTACTGCAGTTAAGACATGGCCGAGCTTCCGTTTCTTGCGATTTGCAATGTTTAGGCGTAGACATATTTTGTGGTTCTGGCATTTCTATTCCTTCGATTTTACTGACTTCAGTTATTGGTAGATGATTTATTTGATTAAGGAAATCTCTAAGCCAGCTGAGTCTTTCACTCCCTTGAATGTGGATTGTTTGGGTAGATTTATACAGCGTAGCTGTAACATTACCATTACATGATTTGTAGATGTTTCCATTTTTAAATCCAGTTTTGGCAAACAGTAGATCATTGTTAAGAATGGTCACAATGTCGTCGAATTTATCTTCCTCATAGTTCAGTGTTACACTCTGTTTGTTGAATCTTACTTGTAAGAAATCTGGCACATGGACATCAAGTAATGGATCATCATCAGGTAAAGAATTTGAATTTCCTTGTGAAAATGAAAGTCCAAAGGTATCCAGAATAGATTTAAATAAACCTGTATTTTCGTTCAAATTGATTGACTCCATTATTAATCACATTCAGAAGTACAGGTAATTACTGATAAGGAGGAGCATTCTAAAACACGTCTGGTCACCTCGAGATCTTATCTTAATGACAATGTTGTTACCTGCTTGTCAGCAGGGACCAGTACGTACTGATCATGTAATCTATCTTAATTAAATTCTTTTCTGACTTCTGGATTTTTTAATACATAGTAGGATAGATGGTTTGCATATTGCCCCTCATTCGTTTAATGTGCGAATTTACATCTGAAATTTTGTCAATTCTAAAAAAGAGTCAAGGTCTTTTTCATGTGTGGCCCATGGCCTGGCGTAATCTTCTACAGAATCCATAATATTTATGAAATTACGACGCCAGTTGAAGGATCAGGGTTCCCTGTATTCAGGACCTTGTAAAATTAGTGATCCAAGGTCCTCATTATTAACCATACTTACATCAGTAATAACGTATTCAGCAGGACTTAAGTTATAGAATGAAGAACAACATGAACATGATGGAGGATTATATTTCTGATACTAGTATTCGATATCCAGGCCCTGCAAACTTTTCTTGTAATTAAAAGTTTGGAAGCAGGGGAAGGGAAGTCTGAACTCTTGTTTTTGAAGAAATTCGAAATTTCAAGTGAGTGACTTTATAAGGATATGGAGATAACGAACAGTATTCAATCTCAAAGTCCATTAAACAATACAAAATAGGAGCAGAGCAAACACGGACCTCAGAGGTGGGATCAGGTGCCATGGAGGAGTGAGCATCCCCTGCCGACCGGTCACACCCGCCGTGTGCTCCTTGTCATGATCAGGAAATATCGGAAAAAATCCGTCGTCAATTCAGTGTATAAATAATGGACTAACAATTGGTTTGAAAATCGTCAGTCAGCATTTGACTCAATGATAAATTGTATTTGCTGACAATGTCATTGTATCGACCATAAAACTTACGAAATGATGACTTTAAACGAGACTGCTGATATTCTTGTTTCGTCAACTTGCTCGTCAATATTTTACCTCGTTTTAGAAATTGTTCATTTGTAGAACATGCTCTTGCGTATCGAATAAACTGAAATATATACACTCCGTATGCAGGTGATGAAGGTATATTGCTGCATAAGTAAAGGAAGTTGACGATAGAAAAGTGAAAGTCATCACGTTTATCATATAGCTTGGTTGTTAGATAACAATTAGTGTCTTTCAAGTAAAATATCCAAATATGAAACAGAAGTGTCGGACTCTGTGGTATCTTTTATCTCAAGCTCACCAGGATATATCGTATCGACGTAGGAATGGAAATTACCATTATTAATTTACAATACGTCGTCAATATATCTAAATGTCGAGTTGAAGGCCACAGCAAGTGTTTTCTTATTTTCACGCATAAGATTTAATGGAAAAAATGGCTCAACTAGGATATATGGATAAGTAGTCCCGGTAAAAATATTTTCATACGCCAAATTTGAATTAATGCGCCTTGTTTTATAATCGGATTCTCATCAAATTCGACTTAATGCGCGTTGTTTGATAATAAAAAGGAAATTAGAAGAATTTTTCCAGCAGAAGACGGGCTGACAGGTCGACAAGTTGAGAGGTAGACAGGTCAACGGGTTGACGGGTCGAATGGTTGACAGGTAGACAGGTCGACGGGTTGACAAGTCAACAGGTAGACTGGTTAACGGGTAGACAGGTCGACGGGTAGACAGGTTGACAGGTCGACTGGTTGACATGTTGACAGGTTGACATTTAGACAGATTGGCGGGTAGACTGGTCGACGGGTAGACAGGTAGTGGGTTGCCAGGTCGACGGGTTGACAGGTTGACAGGTCGACTGGTTGACAGGTAGACAGGTCGACGGGTTGACAGGTCGACTGTTGACAGGTCGACGGGTTGACAGGTGGGATAGAGGAATAGTCCTAATCTATCATGTTCGATTACTAGCCCTAATCTCTCAGGTGGGTTCGAGAACTAACCCTAATCTCTCAGGTGGGTTCTGGAACTAACCCTAATTTCTCAGGTGGTTCTGGAACTAACCTTAATCTCTCAGGTGGTTGTGGAACTAACCCTAATTTCTCAGGTGGTTCTGGAACTAACCTTAATCTCTTAATTGGATTCGAGAACTAACCTTAATCTCTCAAGTGCGTTCGAAACTAACCTTAATCTCTCAGGGGGTTCGAGTACTAAACCTAATCTTTCATCTTGGTTTGAATACTAACCCTTATCTCTCAAGTGGATTTGAAAACTAACCCTAATATCTCAGATGGGTTTGAAAATTAAGATGTGTGAACTGTCGACCTGTCAACCTTTGTGATGACATTGCAGGTTAACCAATAAGAGGTGTCAACTGTCGATCTGTCGACCTTTGTGGTGACACTGTTGATTAGTAAGAGGTGTCAACTGTCGACCTGTCGACCATTTTGATGTCAATGTAAGTTTAATGTGGAATTGTCAAACATTTTTTGTAAAGGGGACTTCTTATGGACTATTTTTAAAAGAATTTATTTGAAGAAATAAGGCAAAATATTTCCACTATCTATTATAAAAGGAACTATTTCTTACCAAATTTTAAATTTGAAAGATGTTAATCGGTTTTATGGAACTACTTATCCGTATACCCTAGTTGAACCGAAAAAATTGCAATCAAGACAGTTTGTAATTCAATATACAAAAAAAATCTATGTGTAGTTCAAGTCCAAAAGGGGGTTTGGGAAGTAGAAAAGACGCTAGATTGAATTTCTTAAATTACATTTCAGTTATATATTGAATATAATCAAAGGAATGTTAAATTATACAAAACAAATAAAAAGATAGTTAAGATATTATATAGGACAATATTACATAGAGAACTAACAAAATAAATCCAACACGACAGAATACAAGTACGGTGATCATTGGTTGTATTGAGAGTAATTGTTCTACTTCAGGGGGATCATACTGTGTGAACATGTTGGAACTGCTGATAAATTGCTCTACTTCAGTGGGATCATACTGTGTGAACATGTCGGTCTCACACTGTGTGAACATGTCGGAAGTTCTGATACGTTGTTCTACTTCAGGTGGTTCACACTGTGTAAACATGTCGGCAGTTCTGATAAGTTGTTCTACTTCAGGTGGTTCACATTGTGTGAACTTGTCGGAATTGCTGATGAGTTGTTCTACTTCAGGGGGATCAAACTGTGTGAACATGTCGGCAGTTCTGATAGGTAGTTCTACTTCAGGTGGTTCACATTGTGTGAACTTGTCGGAATTGCTGATGAGTTGTTCTACTTCAGGGGGATCAAACTGTGTGAACATGTCAGAAGTTCTGATACGTTGTTCTACTTCATGAGGATCACACTGTGTGAACATGTCGGTCTCACACTGTGTGAACATGTCGGAAGTTCTGATACGTTGTTCTACTTCAGGTGGTTCACACTGTGTAAACATGTCGGAATTGCTAATGAGTTCTACTTCAGGGGGATCGCACCGTGTGAACAAGTCGGCAGTTCTGATAAGTTGTTCTACTTCAGGTGGTTCACATTGTGTGAACTTGTCGGAATTGCTGATGAGTTGTTCTACTTCAGGGGGATCAAACTGTGTGAACATGTCGGAAGTTCTGATACGTTGTTCTACTTCATAAGGATCACACTGTGTGAACATGTCGGTCTCACACTGTTTGAACATTTCAGAATTGCAGATACGTCGTTCTACTTTATGGGGCTCACACTGTGTGAACATTTCGGTCACACACAGTGTTGACATGTCGGAAGTTCTGATACGTTGTTCTACTTCAGGAGTATCACACTCTGTGAACATGTCGGAACTGCGTATACGTTGTTCTACTTCAGGTGGTTCACACTGTGTGAACATGTCGAAAGTTCTGATACGTTCTTCTTCTTCAGGGGGATCACACTGTGTGAACATGTCGAAAGTTCTGATACGTTGTTCTACTTCAGATGGATCACACTGTGTGAACATGTCGGATTTGCTGATACATTGTTCTACTTCTGGTGGTTCACAGTGTGTGAACATGTCGGAACTGCTTATACATTGTTCTGCTTCAGGGGGATCATACTTTGTTAACAAGTTGGAACTGTTGATAATTTTTCCCATTTTATGGAGCTCACACTGTGTGACCATATTGATACGTTTACTTTTCTGAGAAGGATGTTCGCTTTTGTCATTTTTGTCATCAGCGATGGGATTCTGAAACAAGGTAATCATAAAATGTTCAAAAGCTGTGACAGGATCTGCTTGTATATTCTAAATATTTTGTTGCAATACTGTTAATGTTTGTAAATAATCAGTAAAGCATTGGATTTTTATAAATATAAAAATTATTTTAAAAATGATAAATAAACTTTAAATGCAGGGTATTTGTATTTAAATACATTAATTACATTCATAATAGAGTAACAGAGAATACCTTCTCTTCAGCGATGAAGTCTATCCGGATTTCATTGGATTTCTTACAGGTATTACCGGTTTCTGTTTGGGTTTGTTTGTCTTCTTTAAGTTTATGTATTGAACGATGTGCAGGATTGGTTTCCAAACGTGTATTCTTTTGTCGGAAGCACTTGCACCAGAAGACGAAGATATATATGGATGTACCTATGGTTCCCGAAATCATAATTTCGTTAGATACCATACTTTTAACCTAGAAATAATATACGGTATATAGGATGAAAAAATTCAATAACATAACGTTATCAACTATTCTACCACGATTATCGTAAACATGAAAGGAAACCGCCGGACATTATTCTCCAATAAATCACGAACGTCATCAAAAAATTATCAGATCAGAAACACGTATCAAATCTTAACAATTCAAATGCATGTTTGGCTGTAGAATGAAATACTTGTTTAGATTGCATCGATGTGTCGTCTTTTGCAGTATAAACACTGCATAAAGTTGCTGATGAATGTCGGTTTTTATAGCTAAGCGGGGCTATTCGACGGACCCCCCTACACATTAAACAACGTGATTTTAGCAGTAAAACAGGAACATGATTTTGTTATTGTATATTCTTTTTAACTGATCAATACATATTACGAACATATTTGTAATTTAAAAAGGCTATTTTTAATGTAACGAAAGCTCAAATCGTCTACATTCTATGTACAGGTAAGCAAACAAATTTTACCTCTGGTGTTAAATGAAACAGCGTAATCGAGACATGGTGACCTAATTCGTTTCTCTATAGAGGAAACGATTATCCCTAATTTAGCGTTTGTACCATACTTGGTAGAATAGAAATAAAGTCCTTGTTGTCGTGAATGATGCAGAATAACCTCCTCGGTCTTGAAATGTTGTTTGAAATATAAAAGCCTCGGCTAGCGCCTCGGCTTTTATCTTTCAAACAACATTTCTCGACCTCGGAGGTTATTCTGCAACATTCACGAAAACGCGGACTTTATTTCTTAAATAACTTTCATATAAAGCATGTTATATTGCAGTAATTTACCTTTATATAATTTTTCCTTACTTATAACATCTGCAATGAGCAAGCATTATGGTTTCCAGTTCCATTCGCCATAAGTTCCACACAGATCTTTCCAAAGGTATGAATATATAATGCCCGCGGTATCTCAATCTCTGTCTCTTACCCCAATATTTGATGTTGTTCTTATATGGCAATATATGCATTAGAATTAAAAAAAATGTTATGCTAATGTTTCTTGGAAATATCTCAATAACCTTGAGCAGCACAATGTAATTTATTTAAAGATCTGCAAAGAACGACCGATTTATCGTCATGGTGCCAAAAAAAAATTAAATTGAGGCATGTACAATGTTTAAACGTTATTCTGAAGCACTGATGTATAACTTGATAGCACCGAACGAGGTAATCTGAATAATGAACACTGTGATATTTAAAGCTCTATACTATAATTTAGTGTCATCTTGTTAATTGTATTGTTCATTACATAACTGGAAAAGCGATCTTTGATGACAAGAACATTTCAAGCCGATTTAAAAATAAATAAATAAATATGCGCAGATGGGAGAGTACAGAAATTCTTTTTTTTTATACAGAAACAACTCATGACATAATAAGACAGTAGAATGTCAAGTGACACAAAATGAATGTCGGTCAGAGAATTTCGTCTTTTTGCCGGAAAAAAGCCGTGTGTGGTCATTTGACTTCTCAGAAGAATAAGTACTGATTACATGATATGACATACGCATTGAAATTAATGTACGTTTCTTTTTAAAAAACAAGAAGATGTGCAAAGGTATTCATCATAATCATTTATATAGTCTTTACGAAGATACATTGCTGGGTGAAACAGTTGCTCTACAAATAACTATCTTTACTCATCAAAAATTATTAACAGGGAACTTTACACGTAGTGTACTCCGAAATATTCATTAAGTGAGATTAATCAAATGTAAGTTCTCATAAGCTCCAAGAACTTTTAAAATCAGAAAAGTTGAAATCATATTTTTTTTCAAAAGTCAGTAACATCAAAATTTATAATTCTTTTTATAATATATACTAGTACATCCATTTTCGCGATAGAAATACTTTTTTATACCACAAACAAAATGGAATTAAGAAGTTTTCAGCTTTTATTGATCATTCACATACTTATTTTAACAAATGAATGTAATATGGAGATCCAGTATTCAAGCTTAAAAAACCCATTCAAACAATACAAATCAGGAGCAGAGCAAACAAGGACTCCAAAACATCAGAGATGGGATCAGGTGCCATGGAGGAGAAAAATTTGAATTCCCATTGGTTCCAATTGCGCCCTGTTATTAGTAGACCTATTTTTGTATTCACATGAAGCAGAATTTGTCCAAACTCTTATACGTGAAAAAAATGCTGTGGCCTTCAACTCGAAATTAGATATATCGACGACGTATTGTCAATTAACAATGGTAACGTCCATTCTTACGTCGATACGATATATCCCAGTAAGCTTGATATAATGGATACCAAAAAGTCTTACACATCTGCTTCATATTTGGATATTTAACTTAAAAAAAAGATGTTTACGGTAATCTATTAACCAACTTCCCTTGCTCATGCAGAAATATATCTTTATCACCTGCATACGAGTTTATATATCTAATTTGATTCGATACGCAAGAGCATGCTCTGCGTATATACAATTTCTAAAAAGAGGTAAATTATTGACAAACAAGTTGATGAAACAAGACTATCAGCAGTCACGTTCAAAGTCATCATTTCGTAAGTTCTATGGTCGATACAATGGCATTAATAGGAAATACAATTTATCATTGAGTCAAATGCTGACTGACTTTTTTCATACTAATTGTTAGGCCGTTATCTACACACTGAATTGTAAACGGATTTTCTTGTGATTTTCCTATCAAGACAAGCATACGGCGGGTGTGACTGGTCAGCAGGGGATGCTCACTCCTCCATGGCACCTGATCCCACTTCCGATGTTTTGGAGGTCCGTGTTTGCTCTACTCCTATTTTGTATTGTTTTGTGGATTTAAAATGTTTCAAAACTATTCGTTATATCCATATGTTTCATGAACTTTAAATACACATCAAACAATTAATTCTAATATAAATAATCATTAAAGTTCAGCAGACATGGCAAGACATATAATCACTCTTAAAAGAATCAATAAAATGTCATAGAAAAATATGTTGCATAAAAATCTTATCAATTATGATTTCTTTTTATTCTTCTTCTTGAGTCCGCAGGAAAAACAGCATCTGAAAGAATTAAAACAACTCTAATTAAAGTAAAAGTAATTTGTTCAAACAAAAGCAAGTAAAAGACAAAGATTATTGATACAATTATTTTTAAAATTTTTATAAAGGAGTAAACATAAATAATAAATGGACATTGTTACTGTGAAAAGTGATAATTTAAGAGATTGGTCTGGCATGTCAAACGTTGCAATATTCGATAATCTTGTGATGTATATTCAAAATCTTGTGATGTATGTTCGAAATCTTGTGATGTATATTCAAAATCTTGTGATGTATATTCAAAATCTTGTGATGTATGTTCGAAATCTTGTGATGTATATTCAAAATCTTGTGATGTATATTCAAAATCTTGTGATGTATGTTCGAAATCTTGTGATGTATATTCAAAATCTTGTGATGTATGTTCAAAATCTTGTGATGTATATTCAATATCTTGTGATGTATATTCTTAAACTTGTGATGTATATTCTATAATCTTGTGATGTATGTTCGAAATCTTGTGATGTATATTCGAAATCTTGTGATGTATGTTTGATAATCTTGTGATGTATATTCGAAATCTTGTGATGTATGTTCGATATCTTGTGATGTATATTCGAAATCTTGTGATGTATATTCTATAATCTTGTGATGTATGTTCGAAATCTTGTGATGTATATTCGAAATCTTGTGATGTATATTCTATAATCTTGTGATGTATATTCAATATCTTGTGATGTATGTTCAAAATCTTGTGATGTATATTCAATATCTTGTGATGTATATTCGAAATCTTGTGATGTATATTCTATAATCTTGTGATGTATGTTCGAAATCTTGTGATGTATATTCGAAATCTTGTGATGTATGTTTGATAATCTTGTGATGTATATTCGAAATCTTGTGATGCATGTTCGATAATCTTGTGATGTATATTCGAAATCTTGTGATGTGTGTTCTACAATTCAGTGATGCGTGCAATAAAATTGCATGACGCAACAGAAAAGTAAGGACAATTTTCATTGGTTAGAAATAACGAAAGTAGCTGAAGCGTCGGGAAAACCATGCAGGTGAGAAAAAACACATCAGTTTGTTTATTGCAGCACTAATTACGAGATGCACGAGTGTTGTTCCTGGTGACATGATGGAGATATTTCGGCCTGCTAGGGAAAAAACTCAGTAAACGTAGATGTATTGACAAAATTTGTAGGTACTTGTAACGATATGTCACGATGCTGCATTGTCAGATACAGTATTTATACATGCATGCTAAAAAGTTAAATCTCGTAGTAATCAATATAGCAGAAGAATAATGAAGAGTACATACTACAAAAACTGTGCAATTTGTAGCAAGATTAATTTTTGTTTAACAGCTGTTTTTATGACATTTTATTTCGTATTATTACTACCAAATACTGTTACCGTTTGTTAATGTTTAATTTGTCCGAGATTCCTGTACTGTCTAACCCCCGCTTTTATATTGTGACTTGTGCGCACAAGTCACAATATAAATAGCGGGGGTTAGTTAGTTGATTAAACAGATTTTGGAATCTCGGATTAGTTAATGTTATGCACATGGTTATCTTGTACTTGCAAGTAAATGTAACATTTAAAAAAAAAAATTTTCTATGCCTTTACTTTGTAGAATAATGAAAAAATAAGTCATTTAGGCTATTTGATAATAACATGCTAAATGAACATGTTTTGCTTTTTAATTCTCCTTCACTCAGTCTTTGTATAATGTATATTTTTAGATGAGCTGATCGCCAACCAGGAGATCAGAATGATCGCATCTGCTCCTGCCACTTTAAGGATGGTAAGAAGGAGGGGGACCCTGCATATTTTGCATGGAATGAAGGAAAGGCCATGGATTTCTCTGATCCTGAATGTACAAAAAGGTGAAATTATTTTTCAAAATATGACCGACATCTTGTTTTTGGATGGTGGGTGGGTGGAGTTTAATTGAGAATATTTTACTAAAAATCTTTAAAAGGGTACATGTATAAACAGAGTAGCTTACAACTGAATAAAAAAATAATTCAAGTTTAATTATTTTACAAAGGAGGAAAAAACTCAAAAGTGAGGAGTCCCTGTCATCTTCACAGATGGACCAGTTGCAGATTCCACAAGCACCAAAATGTCAATATCAAGAAAAAGTAAAGCTCATTTAAAACACCAATGATGACAAATGACCAACACTGAAACATTTTCAATAATTTTTAATAATATATAAAGTTCTTTTAACTGTACATGATTTACAATATATTTTCAGTTGATATCAGAGCACAACTACTCAGCATCCTGCACATTTAACTGTACTCAAGAAATGCAGCGCCTCTCAACAGAAATACAACTGGAAAAGGAATTGCTTGCCCTAAAAATAGAGTCTAGTAAAAGGAAGCCAATATCAATCCACGATATTAAATACAACGAAGAGAAGGTACATTTAAAGGAATTCCAATTGTGATTTCCTATTTCCTAACAATTTCAGTTACTGTAATAAAAACTTGTTGCCATTGAGGGATGAACATCTTAGATTGACTGTTATGTTAACATATTTTGTTATTATTTGGGAGTTTAGGTCTCTGATCAGCAGGGGCATTTTCTCTATATAAGAAGAAAATGGAGACTCCCTACCCACCCGATGTATTTTGTCGGACAGTTTTCTGTACATTGCAGGTAAAAATTTTATTTATTAACTTTCCAGCCTCTTATTGTAAAGTACATTTTGGGTTCAGTTTTTGCTTTTCTTTAATTTTTAAAAAAAATTATTTAAATTCTCCTTTTCTTAGAATAAAATTCAAAAAGTAGCTTCTGATTGTAATGTATAAGACTACAGACATTGAACTTTGATTTGTTATCAAAAGGATTGATTTAAACTTGTCTAAATTAATTGTAAACAAAAATAAAAGGGGGCACCTGCTATTTCTTTAAGTGTTTTTCACTGGGGGGTGGGGAAACTTTTTTGTACATACTTAAGCAATAGGAGGGATTAGATAAGAATCAATTAGTATATCAGAGTCTTAAAAAATATACTTTGCATAAGCATAAAAAAATTCTATATCAGTCTTTTTAAAACCTTTGAATTTTGCTTAATTAACTATGATTTATCCAATTTTGGAGCTTTTTACCTAATTCTGGGTAGAATCCACCCTTATGAAATTATTGACTCAATTTTGACTTAATATCACTTTATTAACATCAAAGCACAAAAACAATTCATTGTACAAATATTTTATTTATTACAGTCACCAATATATCCAAATATCATCACCGGCCCAGACGTCATTCACTCCTTTGAATTGTGCTGGTAGCAGTAAGGTGTCATCATTTGAGATGGTCACAGTATCCAATACACTGAAGTCACAGGACTCAAATTTCATACATGTTCACAGGTAGGTGTATAGTCTTTGAAATTACCACAATTGACTAATTCTGGGACAGGTAAGTATGTAAGTATAGGAATGAGAGCACCAAATCCCCGGATGCACACATGGCTTTGTTTGTTATGGAACATTAAACCGAATACTGAATGGGTAGGCGTTACGCCATTGGCTGAAATCAGGTATTTAATTGTTTTCATTTTAAAGTAAAATTAATGACCTTTGAAATAAATGATGGGATGAGGGAATATTACAGAAACTATAGAAATGCCAGGGAAGATTTTAGGAGTGGGGGTTAATTTTTTATGCCGCGTGTTATTTACTGCGAATCTCTATAAGTTGAAAATAACTGCAATTTTGACCTATAAATGCCATGGGACCATATATTTTTTTCAGTATTTTTTGTTAGGGCTTAGAACAAAGTTTGAAATGATGCTAAAGATTTTTCTGAAATTGTCATAGTAAAGTACTGAGAGGGCCTAAGGTTTGTATGGAGTTCTATGGGAAAATAATTAGTGGTCTTTTCCCTATACAAGATGCTGTCTGATGGCGTAGTGTAGAATGTAGCGTAGAATGTTTTCCAAGTCGGCTTAAATGCAAAGGTTTGTTTTAAAATTTATCATAATGACTTGCAAAAATTTAATGCAGTTAAATTTATTGTATTCTTGAAAGATTGACTAACACAATTTTTTTACACAATTACAAATAATCAAATTAATTTTTTTCCAACTTTTTTTCAGGGTCTCTGCCAAAATCTTTTGAGGATTTTTCCTCTGCTAGAGCATCCATGGATGCAAATGAAACAACCCAGGACATCCCAACACATATGGATAATCAGGCCATGGCCTACAGTATGTACAAAAGTTGCCATACTTTTAAAGCAGTAACTTGCGTGCCTCCAAATGGTGCACTTACATTTTGCTCCATGCTGTACCCAGGTTCTACTTCTGATGTAGCTATTGTACGTCACAGCCAAGTTTTACGAAAGTTCAAAGCTGGAGACCTTATTTTGGTGGTCAAAGGTTTCACCATTCATGACCAGTTGCCCCAGGGTGTCTGCTTAATTATAAAAGCTCTTTTATCGACACGAGGCCAGTTTACCATACAAGAAGCAGCACTGTTACAAGATTGCTAAAGCACTTATTCATGTGGAAAGAGCCAACGAGAGGATAAAGAATTACGAGATTCTCCGTCACATACCATCTACTTACAGACCAATCTCAACAAAAATATTTCAACTCTGTTCTTGTCTTGTAAACTTGCAAGCTCCACTTTTGAAAGAAATTACTTAAAGATACATGTACTTACAGGGTTTAAACTTGAAGATATTCTGAAAGTTAAGCAAATTTTGATTTGTTATCAATGTCACATGTACTTCAGAGCCATGTGGGCTTCCTGACATGTTTAGACAATGTATGGACACAGGTTGGATTTATTTTATTTGACAAATTTAGGAGCCCACTGCTAAATTTGTTAGCCCAAAGCACAAATTCTCTGCAAACAATTTATTTATTTTTTTTAAAAAGCATAGATACTGGGACAAAAAGTAGATACAAATGAAATACATATATAAATTCATCTTTTTAAAATTGGAGTTCTTTCTTTATAAAAATCAGATGTCATATAAATATTGAATCAAAGGAAATAAAATTGTATTCAATAAACATTTTTACTATTTTTTTTTTACTTGGTAATACATGTATATAAATACGTAGCCCTGGCACATGTCTTCAACTGATAAACTGACAATGACACAATAAGATTTTCTAGGTTAAATATTTTAACTACAACATATCTAAATAGGTGAAAACATTTTTTTCTATTCATATGATTTCTGATCATTTACAACAGTTTGAAAACTAGGAGTTGTTAGTATATCTCTCAGGTAAAGACACAAAAAATTGTATCAAAAGGATTCTTGTATCAACCATTTATAGGGGGTTGGGGGAAATTCCAAGTCGGCACATTAAATGCAAAAAGTTTATGTTTGGACAAATTTGCATGTTAAAATGTATTGTATTCCCATTCGAAAAACACAACAAAATTAGGGAATTTCACCAATAAGTCAAATTAAATTTTTTCATTAAAATATTTTTTTGTCACAACAAAAAAAAATCGCAGAAAAGATTTGAAAGGTAGGTTTTCATTACCAAATTTTTAAAGGGGTCAGGTTTATAGGATATTTACGAACAATAGGACCATACTGCAAATCAGGTGATTTATTTTTTTTTGATGCCATTATACAGAAATAAAATATTTTTCTGTAGTTTTAAATCAAAAATGTGCAAAAAATGTTAAGTTTTTCAGTAAGGTGACTGCAGTAAATTTTCTCTTTGCCATGTTCTGTAATTTTCAATATCCAGAATTTTTATAATGAAATCGGCGATTTTTCTCCAGAATTTTTATTCGCCACGTTTTATAATCATTTTTTTACAAAGCGAGCAACTTACCAATTTTATGAGCCCACACCAATTTTTACTCGCAATTTGCGAGTGGGCGAGCGTTAAGTTTAAACCCTGACTTATTATAAATTTGCATTGGCATGTGACAGTATACACTAAACAGTGAAGATATTCATACCAAAGTGCAAGGGATAAGCAAATTTTGATTTGTTATCAATGTCAGTGGTTATATTTGTTAACTTTGTAGTATGTTGTAATACATGTACTTCAGAAAATGAAAATCCCTTTTGTTTAGCATGGATTTATTACAAGAATGTTTGGCAATTCGATTCTTCATTTGACAATATAATTTGGAAGAGGGTTTACTTATAATTTTAAATCTCTAGTTTAAAGTATATTTACCTTTAAAGCACAACTCAACAAATTCATGTTTTCAACAATTTATCTATTAAGAAAGACAAAAATGTTACATTTTCACTTTGAGAATAACATCTTCAATTCATTAATAAAATGATTCTAAATTTTGATATTCTTTTTTTATGTAGTACATAGATTTTATTAATCATCATTGCTATTTAAAATAGTCTTATAAGCCAGAAGTTTTATGATGGATTCATTGGATTGTGACATATCATATCATACATTTATGAGACTTGGGAACATTCAACACATTTAACATGATTACCCATTTTCCATTGTTAGAAAATTCTAGAGGTACAAAACTAAGTGTCAAGAAGTTCAAACCAGAACTCAGTTTTCCATCAGTGCTGGAATGAAAATGTTAATGTAGAAATCTATCAGCTTTGGAACATTTGCTGTCCATTCAATGTCTTTTACTATTCTAATCACAATGCAGTCTACTCTTGTCCACACAATTAAGTCGCAGAATGTTTTGTTACATATGTGTAGCTGGCCTTGAATTTGATGATAGTACGGGTGACTGGTTTTCAGGCACAGGGTATCTTGTTTAAGATCTAAAAAAAAAAATCAAAAAACACTTAAGTTGTGTCATACCAGTACATATCCCCTCCTTTTTCAATATCTTCATACCATATTGAACAGCTGCACTTGTAAATTAATACATGTTTTGAAATCATTTACTCACCAAGATTTTTAATTTCAAAGTACTGGACAATACAGATTTTTAATGTTATTTACCTATGAAAAATCCTTCAAATTTTGTGCCCCATCTGCTACTGTTGAAGACGATGCTGTATATGGACACTTCACCTCTACAATATCAGGAATGGCGTCTTTGGCTTCTGGAGTTTGATAAAATACACTGCATGTTGGTGGTCGAACAACTAAGCCATCAGGTGAAGCTCCCAACACTCCGGATTCATGCAACCATATCCTTTCCAGAAAAAATTATAATACTACTGAATGCAAACAAACCATAATACAATTGATTTTGTAATGCAAACAAAGTCTAAGTAGAGCTTTTATAATCCTTCTACTTCAAAAAGCAAATTTTCTGGAATATGTTGGTAACTGAATATTTATGCCCCGCCATGAATATGGCCGGGGCATATAGTGTTTGTCATGTCCGTCTTCCGTCCTTCTGTCCTTCCGTCCCACTTTGTGTTTAGCTCTGTTCAAAGCTAAGTTTCAAAGAAACTATCCAAGATATTTTCATCAAACTTCATATGCTGATAGATATTGATGAGAGCTATGCAACTGCATCAACATTTTTTGACCTTGACCTTTCCTTTGACCTTGACCTGACTTTTCTTAAATAGTGTTTAGCTCTGTTTTAAACATACCATTCAAGATGGTGTTATCAAACTTTACATGTTGATACAAACTTGCATAGATGATGCATCTAGAGATGAACACTATCAGGACTTGCTTCGGATGCTGGATCTGACCTACATTTTCCAGATGAGTGACCAGGTTGAAGTTTTTGGAGCAGATTTTTTAAGGAACTATAAGCCCTACTTAGACCAAACTTGCTTGGATGATGCATCTAAGGATGGACACTACCAGACTTGCTTCGGATGCTGGATCTGACCTACATTTTCCAGATGAGTGACCAGGTTGAAGTTTTTGGAACTATTCCTAAGCCCTACTTAGACCAAACTTGCATGGATGATGCATCTAGGGATGGACACTACCAGACTTGCTTCGGATGCTGGATCTGACTCACATTTTCATTCCCAAGTAACTATAAGCCCTACCTAAACCAAACTTGCATGGATGATGCAGCTAGGGATGGACACTACCAGACTTGCTTCGGATGCTGGATCTGACCTATATTTTCATTCCCAAGTAACTATAAACCCTACCTGAACCAAACTTGCATGGATGATGCATCTAGGGATGGACACTACCAGACTTGCTTTGGATGCTGGACCTACATTTTTATTCCCAACTAACTATAAGCCCTGCCTGAACCAAACTGATCAAATTTTATACATGTACAAATTTCATGTTGCTTTACTAATATATCCTCGGCGGGGCATTCATGTCCTATGGACATATTTCTAGTTTTTTTTTACAATTAGACTTCAGTAATTGATTTCTGTTTTTTTACCAGGATAAGTCCTGTTATTTGTTTTGACACATTGAATGTTAACATGTCAGAGGTTGAATGAATGTTATTTTGTGCTGTATACCTGACTGCTCTACAGCTGCATCAAAGTCCTTTTCATACTTTCTCAAAGCATCATCTTCATGAGTGATACCCCATGCAACAGCCTTGATGGACTCCAGATTGTAAGCCGACATCAGCTGTTTCTTCAGTGACAATGTCAATCTGGAGAAGAAAATATGATTTTTGGTTATTAATCTTATATTTCCTGCATCTTTATGTACAAATATCTAGTCATTACAGTCGAACCTCATTATCTCAAACTCAATGAGACCAAGAAAAATGTTGGAAATATCCGTGGATTCAAGAATAATACATAAAGAGTTATCAAGAATAAAATGTCCCAGTCTTTTATAAATGGTTTGGACTTCAAAATTACTTTGACATATCCATGAAATATGAGATAATGGGTTTGAGATAACAAAGTTTGACTGTAATTTTAAAAGTCTATTTCGCAAAAATTTAATCACACGTCTTACCGCCTTTGCTTAGAACTGAGAACTGCACCAAAGTTGGAAGCTGATATGCTATGTTTCCTTACAATCGACCACATTGGGTTGTTTCATTGCCAATGCAGCTCTTTTAATGGATTCAGGGATAATGCATGCTGTAACCATACCATAGGGGTATCAGAATGAACATACTCTGGTGATGTTAACAGGTCTTCAATGAGAGGTACAGGTGGACCAGGTTCACATGGCTCTGGTTCAAGAATCCAATTCAATGCTGAAAAATTTCATTACTTGTGTCATTCTCAAAAATATCATCCATAATATCCATATCACATATACCAAGTATTTATATAAGAGTCCATACATTTCATTTTAGTGAACACTGTCATGGGTTTTTGTAATGTATGCATTACATATCAAATTTACAACTCACTTGCATATATTTGTTCAGAATTGTTCCTGTATATAATTTTGCACGTGGCATTCTTAGTGTGAAAATGCCATGTAAAAATTGGTGCAAATGTACAATTAATATTTACTTAATTATTAACAAGGTTTCATAATGACAGAGTATTTAAATAATAGAAGAATGATCTGATAATTCGCAAGAATATGAAACAAAATATTTTTTTTAATGCAATTGAATAATTTATTTTTCCTTTCAAAAATGTATGCTCATGTACAAAAATGCTATCATATTTATAATATTGTCTTTCCAATTATTCAAAGGTTGTTATTAATATTTATTACATAGTATGTTCAAAAATTGGGCATTATACATAGCCAACTATATTATACTCCTCATCTTTGTACATTTGTTCACAATTAAAATTAACCATCGGTCAGTAACAAAATAA